TTAAGAATCAGTTAAAGAAATAAAAAAAAAAAAAAAAAGACCTAGATTTCATTAGAAATGGAGTATAATAGATGTGTTTTGCGAATTTTGAAAAATAAATTAAGAATTAACGACATGGCAATAGTTATACATGGCTAATAGTTTTGCATAATGTTCTGGGATCTAATTTGTAATTAAAGAAAGTGGTATGGGTATGACAAACTGAGAAAAAGGAACAGAGAAGTTAAATAACTGAAAGAGGGACTTGTGGATTGTGAAATTTAAAATTCGTTCTATATAAGTTGATGTTACTAACTTGTTTTTATGGATCTCATTAGTCGAGGATTTTAAAGAGATGTATAGTCTATCTTTCGTTAGAAAATGGGGTTAAGCTTGTTAAGAGGTGATGTTGATTGGGATAGAGCAAGTATATCCCTATCAGTTGATAGCACTAGCCCGAGAAATGTCTTGATTCTATTTGAAATAAGCTTGTAGTAAGTGGCAAGAATTTTTCTCTTTAATTGGAATGGATTCAAATAGCAACTTACAATTTGATAATAATCGAAAACTTTCTTGAGTTGGCAGCAATCATCTTATTTAGTTATGAACAACTTCAATGATTATGAGGGCAAATATATGGAATTGGAATTGATGCAAAATGGATTGAGTCGGCATGTAGGTTTTGAATTTTAAAATAAGGAGTCCAAATTGGAATAGTAATAAATTTGATTGAATATGTGGATTCTTATATCAGTAAGATTACATACTGAGTTGGTGTATGAGTTTCTTATGGAGTGATGATCATTGCCTATGATAGCTAGTGAGAGAATAAATGACGATACATCAATGTAAGGACACATGATATAGAGGTAATGAGATCAATAACCCTTACTTGAGCAGATGTTATAAGTGAATGAAATTCTTACGTGTAAAGGTGAATATTAGTGTCGAATCTGTGCTTTAAGTTATGAATATTTGACTTGAGGGGACAACTTGTAGACATAGTATAATTTACGTTTAAATTAACTATGGTGATAAGGTAGATAACTTTAGGGATGGATTTATCTTATAATCATCTTACCCTCTCTATAAATTAGATTTTCTTCCCTGGTCTGTTCATTGGTTTGTCTTAATTAATAAATTTAAGAAAAAAATTAGATTCACCACTCTGACTAACGAACTTGCAACTTTATGTGAGAAGCATAACCACCAACAACCCGAATTTTTATTTTCAAAGATTTTCCAATTAAATTTAATAAACCGTAATATAACCGAAAGCCTGTAAAATTAATATTAATATTTTTAGTACGAATACTAGTGAGAAACCGGATCGAAAACCGATTGAAAAAGGCTGAAAACCAGTTAAAAATCGATGATTTTGGACAGAATCGAATCGAACCGAACCGGTTTCGTACCCAAAGCATCTAGAAAAATTCCTTTTTTTTATATGTCCAGCGCTGCACCTTCCATTTCCTAACCCACCCATTTCCTGCGCCACCTCCAGCTCACCACCGCACCACCACCATCCTCCTCCTTTCTTCCTTTTCTTCTTTCCTTTTCTTTCTTTTCTTTTCTTTCCTCTTTTCTTTTCTTCTCTTTTCTTCTTCCCTGTGTCTATCTCTGTGTGACTGGCGAGAGACAGCAGATCCTTAGTTAATTAATTTAATTTTATTAATGATAGTTAATTAAATTTAGTTAGTTTAATTTTAATAATTTTAGTTGATTTAGTTAATGTTAATAATATTAGTTAATTAACTTAAGTTTATTATTTGTAGTTAATTAATTTAGTAATATTAGTTAATGAAATAAAATTTTATTATTTGCAATTAATGAGTTTAGTTAAGTTTAGTTAAGTTAGTTTTAGTGAATGAAATTAGTTAATTGTAGTTAATTTATTTAGTTAAGTTAGTGTTAGTAATATTAGTTAATTAAATTAATTTTAGTATTTGTAGTTAATTAATTTAGTAGTAGTAGTTAATGAAATTAATTTTATTATTTGTAGTCAATTAGTTTAGTTAAGTTAGTGTTAGTAATATTAGTTAATTAAATTAATTTTATTTGTAGTTAATTAATTTGGTTAATTTAATTTGGTCATTGTGAATAGTTAATAGCTTTATAATATTAGTGTTGATATAATTAAGGTAGTTTTAAAATAATGTTATTGTAATGTATAAATTGGATTGTGTGGTGATGTTGAGATTGAAGGAGGATGGGAAAATGTTATTTGATTAATTGCCCGATGGATGGGCCGGCATGGGAGGGCCGTATGGATTTTGAAGTAATTTGTGAAGATTGTTGATAATTTAATAGGTTTAGATAGTCCCAACTTTTAAGGGAGAATGCTACCGAAATTTCGGTAGAAAAATAAAAATAAATTTGGTAATGAGAAATAATAAAATTTCGGTAGAAAGAAAATAAATAAACTAGAGTTAGAATAAAATAAAATAAAACAGATAAAAATAATAATAATAATAAATAAAATAGAAATAAAAGTTATGTCAGCAAAAGAATTTAATATAGAAGAATAATTAAGTATAAAAAGTAAGAAAATAGAAAATAAAAGTTTTAAAGGTAAAATAAATATCTTACCCTGATATACATTATTTTCGTGGTGAGTCATTCTCTGAATTTCTTAGTCGCCCAGGTCCATCTAGGTGCTGCCTCCTCCAGGACAGAAAATCAAAAGCTAGAATTTCGCTCTCTACCAACTGTGAGTAATAATAAATAATGCATATCAAACATGCATTTGCATAAGCATTTTTTTTAGCAAACCTTAATATATACATATATATTTTTTTTATATTAAAGTCAATATTTTATTTTATGTTGCAATAATTGTATATTTTTTAATGTATTTGGTGCAGTACATTGAAAAGAATTGTTTGAAATATTGTGTTTGTGCATATATTGTGATTTGTTTGGTTGTGTGGAATTGGGATGAAGTGGGTCACCATGGGTTTGTGAGAATGGTATATGTGATATGGATCCTGAATATGATATGAAATTTGGCCGGGTAAATGGAAGATCGGCGCCCCGTGTGCACCTACTGCTATGATCTGTGTGATATGGAAAACCACAGGTTGGTTTCTTTATTGGGCGCACCTGATTTGATCGCAGCCCGCAGGGTGGCCTCCTGTTGTGAGCGCTTGATGATCTAGATTTGATGGAGACGACCGGGTTACCTCCTGTTGGGAATAGAGAGAATGGAAAAATAATGAGAGGAAAAAGAAAAGAGAGATGGAAAAAAACAATGAAAGAGGGCTGGTCAAGTTGAGGATTAGACCCGGTCGGCCAGTAAATGGGGGAATCGGCTAACACTGGTGACATGTGAGACCGGAATGACGCCATGTGGGAGGACGGCTTTATCGGGGGTTTGGTGACTCCCAACTGACATAATCTCCACGTGATGTGATTAAATTGAAGGTGATAATATTTTGTTGGGTGCTGATGTACAATGTCATCTGATTGGGACTGATGTGTGTTCATTCCAAGTATACTACAGAGTGCATTTTTGCTTGACTGTATGTGGTATGTTGTATTTATTATTATTAATTCCACATGAGTTGCCAAAACTCACCCCCCCTTCCTGCCAAACCTCCCAGGTACTTAGGAAGGTAGGAAGCAGCTGATTCGACTGAAGCTCTGCAATCTTCTCCGCAGAGTTATAAATGTAAACTTTATATTTCTGTTATTTAAATTTGGATGTATAAGTCACTCTACTATTAGATTATTATTGAACTCCGCAGTTATAGGGTTGTGTATTTATATTGGGCTTTATTATTAGCACTACGCTATAAATTAAAGATTATGTAATTAGCTGCAGGTGAACCGGTAAGCCCATAATGTGATTATAATTTATTGTGGATAGGTCTTGGTTACATATTATGTATTAATTGTGATTGGGTCACATGGTTATATATGGGCTTACTGTTTTGTTGAAATTAGACTGTTTTGTTGAAAATTAGATTGAATAATTTAGGCTTACTACGGGCCTTGGGGGCCTTAAGCTTACCTGGGCCCTAGTGTCGGTCCGGCCCACGGAAACGGGTCGTGACAGTTTGATTTAAATTTTTATAAATCACAGAATAGATATGGATTGGATAAAACTTCCAAACCAAACCTTGAATATCCCTAAGACTGATATTTCAAGAAACATACATTTATTTATTTATTTATTATTGTGTGTTTTGTATTTGAGAGTAGGAGATGAAGCATTACTTTAGCGTTTAGACTTTAGAGTAAGAGAATAGGAGATTAACGATATTGTCTTAGTTTACCAAGAGTAAGAAACAAGACAAAACCTTCTATTTTATCTTCTTCTTTTATTTCTTTTTTCAAGAAAATATAGATAAGATAAAACATTTTTAGTTTACCAAGAAGGAATAAGCGACTGAGAAAGAGATAAGATAAAGAAAGATAAAGATAAAGTATAAGGTAAGAAACGAGGAGAATGACTTGCCTTGCTTACTTTGAGTGCGAAGGGTAAGATGCAGTGCACTGTAATTGTTAGAACGCAAAACTTCAGTTATTTCAGTTTATTCGTTTTTCTATATTAAAAAGTAAATAAAAAAATCCAAAATGTAACATTTTTTTTTTCGACCGAACTGAACAAATTAAATTTAAAAACTGAACCTAATAGTCTGAACATTGTCGGTTTGGTTTGTTTTTTTTTTTTTTTTTTTTTTTTGGTTTGAACCAAAATTTGCTCATCTTCTATTTTGAGCATGAGTTGTCATTATGCCACAAAAGAAGATATATATGAATACAGTAGGAGGTTCATGAACCGCTCAAATCGATTTAAAAATCGTGGTTTTAAAAATTAGAGATTTTATTTTATTTTTAAAATTTGAAAAGCTGAATTAATAGTTCGGTTTATGATTTTAAAGTTAAAATACCAAAATCAAATAAACCAAATAGAAAGTGAAGGTTTACTATGGACTTCGTCTCACAGTGATCGCATATTTCTCACCCGAATACAAAACTGTGTCTAACCTAAAACTTGCCAGCAAACGCACAGCTCTGCATGATAGACACGTACTTCCCTACATACTCTCCATTTTCCCCTTCATAAATCCCACCTCTCTTTCTCTCTCTCTACCAAATCCAAAACCCTCAAGAAATCTGAGAATCTAACAAGCAAGGCAAGAGAAAGGCAACCCATAATGGGAAACAGAACTACGCTTTTCTTCTTACTGCTAGTTATTTGCTATGGAGTCACCGCCATGGCAAATGGGTTTAGTTATAATGAAGAGAGAGAGGGAAGCAGGAGCGAGAGGGAAGTGACAGAAGAAAGAGGAGAGGGAAGCAGGGGAGAAAGAATAGAAGGAGAAGATAGGTTTTTGTTGCAAGATTCAAAGCATGTGGTGAAAACTGATGCAGGGTATATGAGGGTGGTGAGAAATTTTGGTGGAAGAATGATAGAGAAGCCTATGCATATTGGGTTTATTACTATGGAACCGAAGTCTCTTTTTATCCCTCAATATCTTGACTCTAATTTAATCATCTTCATTCGAAGAGGTATGCTAATTTTATGGGGTGTTATCATATGCTAGATTATATATATTAAATAGGTTTTGGACATGATTTTTTTTTTCTATCCTGAAACATAATTGATTGGGCTGCAGGGGAAGCAAAGATTGGATTGATCTACGAAAACGAGCTGGCAGAGAGGCGATTGAAGAATGGGGATATATATCGAATCCCGGCCGGTTCAGCATTCTACTTGATCAACCCAGCAGAAGGGCAAAGACTTCATATAATTTGCAGCATTGATCCAACTGAGAGGTTCGGATTTGGTACTTTTCAGGTACTTTATTTTCCTTGCTAGAAAAAGATATATATTTGTATATACACAGTCTTCAAAAGACTAACTTTTTATTTTTTTTGTATATATTTGCAGTCTTTCTTCATTGGCGGAGGAACCTATCCAACTTCTGTTCTCTCTGGTTTTGAACCAGAAACACTTTCAACTGCCTTTAATGTAAGCCAAAATTTATGCAATTTTCAGTTTTTCTTACTCTTTTTAGGACAATTAGACTCCGATTGGGTTTCAAAATGACAACCTCACTGCACCGGAGACTTCCAGTATGGAATCTAAGCTTACTTAGATTGTTTCCGCTGACTAATATAATTGTTGGTCCATCATATGTAGGTCACAATGGATGAACTTAGGGATATCATGACAAGGCAAAATGAGGGTCCAATCGTATATTTGGACGATTCTCGAGCACCGAAAGCAAGCGTATGGAAAAAGTTCATTCAAATGAAGGAGCAAGACAGACTTCAGCACCTAAAGAGAATGATGAAGTTCCAACAAGAACCAATGGAAGAAGAGGAAGAAGAGGAGGAAACAACATGGTCATGGAAGAAACTCATGAGTTCTGTTTTCGGGCAGGAAAATGAGAAAAAAAAGCGTGAGAGGACCGGTAAATCACCAAAATCTTATAACATGTACAAGACCCCCGACTTCAAAAACAACTATGGATCCAGCATTGCCCTGGATGACACTAGTTATGATCCTCTCAAACACTCTGGCATTGGAGTATACTTCGTCAATCTCACTGCGGTATTGTTCTTATTCTTTTTCTTGTTACGTCAAATTTTGTAACATTGGATTCATACAAGTAAAACAGACATTTTCATTCCTACCAAATTGGAAATTTCAAAGAATTCGTTTGTAACTTTGCCTCTTAGGGATCAATGATGGCACCGCATGTGAATCCAACAGCAACAGAATACGGAATTGTTCTGAGAGGAACTGGCGTAATACAGATTGTGTATCCAAACGGAACACAAGCAATGAAAGCGAAAGTAGCAGAAAATGATGTGTTTTGGGTGCCAAGATATCACCCATTCTGTCAAATTGCATCAAGAACAGCTCCTTTTGAGTTCTTTGGATTCACAACCTCAGCTCAAAAGAATAGACCCCAATTCTTAGCTGGTTCAAACTCAGTTCTTACTACCTTAAGAGGCCCTGAGCTTGCAACTGCATTTGGCTTAAGCGAGGAAGGATTGGAGCACTTTGTTAATTCACAACGCGAGTCAGTTATATTGCCTTCAGCATCTGCAGCACCACCAGACAAGTTGAAGGAGGCGGCTAATTCTGAAAGGGTGCAAAAATTGATAAAGAGCTTTGATAATGATATGATAATGGGTTTTGATTAGAGAAGAGTAATGTAAAGAATAAAACGTGGTTGCAAACACAGACTGTAATAGCTGTTGGTAGTAGCTTTTTTTTACCCTTTTCGTTTATCTAGTTATCCTCAGAGTCGTTAATGAGTTTCTCTTAGTTTGTGAATAAAATTTACTTTCTTTTTTCTCATTATTTCTTGTGGATTTTCTACGGGTATGTTTGGCTTGACTTTGGATTAATAGATAAGAATATCAATTTTGATTTCATTTTGTTGGATTAAAAGGAATAGCTGAATCATTTCTTGATTATAGTAACTACATGGTGAAAACATTTTCTTGTTTGATTATAATAACCACGGGATGAATGAAAGGGTGAATATTAAGAGGAGTCAGGGATCAAAATGAAAATATACGGTGAATATTAGATAGACTAAGGGATCAAAATGAAAAGGGTATTATATTTTTTTGAAAAAATAAAAAGCATATTTAGTTTTTTTTTTTGGCATAAAAAGTCTATTTTCCCAAAAAAAAAAAAAAAAAGTATATTTTTTGAAAAAAATAAAAAAGCATATTTTAGTTTTTTTTTTTTGGCATAAAAAAGTCCTATTTTCCCAAAAAAAAAAAAAAAAAAAAGGTAAGAAGAGTAAATTTCTTGTTGGGATTTTATTTTTATTTTTATTTTATTGCATATGAACACAATATATGGCAACTTAAAAAAAAAAAAAAAAAAAAAAAAAAAAAAAAAAAAAAACTTATTTTGGTGGAAACAAAATTCAATGAAAATTATATTTTTTTTTTTTAAAAAAAAAAAAAAAAAAAAAAAAAAAAAAAAAACTTATTTTGGTGGACAAAATTCATGAAAATTTATATTTTTTTTTTTGGTTTTAATCATCCGCGTCCTAAGTTTGCAATTCTGGAGAAGTTCTTTCCTGTCATGTGTAATGACTTATGTTCTGCCGTCAGAGCAGGGAGCTGCGTGAGCGGCTTCTAATTTGGCAAATGCTTCAGCTTTGTTGTCGTTTAATCCCGATCTGTGCCGGACAGGCCCACAAAGAGTTGCAGTGCACTCTTCTGAATATTTAAAGAATTTTTCAAAATCTTTATTTAAGAGAGAGATTTCGAATCATCTCATTTCACAGTTTATTTTACCATTTAAAATTAAAATTTATATTATTTTTAATATAAATCTAATCTCGTTTTAAGCTCATAGCAATTTTTATACACGATTATATATCAAAATATATGAATATTTCATTTTTGATTAATAGCAATCAGGATTAGACTTGATTAGACAATACGTACGCCTTCATTTATGGATTATAATCAATAAAAAAAGTTAAAAATTATTTTTAATCTTTTTAATATATGGTCAGAAATATTTTTTTTTTTTTAAAAAAAAAAATTCATTTCATTCATGAGTGAAATCGAAATAAATACATGTGAATTTTAATATCCATTTTAAATTTGTTTAGAATATTTATTTAAATATTTTTATAATTTTAGTACATGTATTCATTTCAAACCGTTCAAGGGTATCCGCGAATTTGACGGACGGGAGCTTACTTCCTAAGACGGCTAATATTACCCAACAAGCCATAGTTTGAGTAGCCTGCGCCATTTTGAACTTTTTAACAAAATATCGTGCGGCCTAAAAGGCCCATAAAAAGCCCATCCTAAATCCAAATTTAGTAGGTCCATCTCTTCTCTCTCTTCCTCGACGCTGTCTTCGCCAACAAGTCTGAGAAGATCTGCTTATAAACCTTGTAGAAGAAATTAAATCAAATCAATTTTTCACATATATACTTCTGCTATTGTGTTCTAGCTATTATCCTCTTGATCATAAACCAAAGACGGCCGCGGCTATGGCGAAGGAGACCGGTTCAGAACCCGCCCAGCTTTTGGGCCCCGAATCTTCTTCTGAAAGAACACTGTAAGCCACCTCCCTCCCTCTCCACTTCCCAGTGTTATATTTTTGGTCTTACATGTATAGATGTACTTCTGTTCAATTTTTAGTCTTATATGTATAAATGAAACCCTAGCGTTGCATTTATTTATGTCATTTTGGTGCAGGTATCCATATGTAACGGGTACATCTGTTGTAGCTTTGAAGTATAAAGACGGCATTTTGATGGCTGCTGATATGGGAGGTTTGTTGCTTTACTTTTTAAAGTTGCTGATTTGTGGAAAAAATGTGTGAATGTTTTTTCTTTTAATTTTTACTATTTTTTATAATATTATTTTCTGCTTGATTTCCGAGGATATGAGCAAAGTAGTAGAATAGATAAATTCATTTAGAGTTGACTCAAAGACTTTGGATTATAATGTTTCAGTTGCGCTTGTATTTTTCTTGTGATTTAGATGTTTAATTAAACTAATGGAGTTTCAATTTCTATGTGATTGACATAATTATACCGAAGTACCAGGATCATAATTACAATTAAACAAATGGTGTCCTTTGCAATAAAACGAAAATCTCTGCTGTTATGCCAATTTTGTAGCCATTCACTCCCACTGTCTTCACTTATTAGGCTGTAAACATGAAATAGCAAATGGACAACACTACAAAGTAGCTAGCAATTTTTTTTTTTCGAAGATCAGAGATCACTTTGCATTAGGTTTTACATTTTTCTTAGCTTAAAACTTTACTTGAGATATTATTTTGCTCAATCGGAATTGAGGTATAGGTGGTGGGATTGTTTGTATCCAGCGCATATATTGGTTACATACTTGTGTAATATATAATAACATAGAATGAAAGAGGCATATCTGGAATCAGAATAGTGTCAGTCTGTATCAACCATCGCAGAAGATGCTAGATATGTTCGTTCTTCTAATTCATGTTAATTGTCAAGACCGTGTTAACTGTTCCCTCTTCTCTTCATCACTCCTGCACTTAATTTCAACCTTAAGTATGTTGCTCTTGCTCTTGGCATTATTCTTTTGCATTCTCAAGATCTTTACTTTTAACCTTATTTCAATATCATTGTATATTATGCTTGCATGTTTTCTTTTTAATTCACACCTTCCCTATTTCATTATCCCTGATAGTGTGAGTTGTATATAGTTTCTGCAATCAAACAATTGTTGCTAATTTCTTTCTTGCTTATTTGAAATTGGGAGTTGTTTCCTTTAATAATGTCTAGGTTGAGTGATGACAAAAATTTTTGTTGTCATTGAATATTGCCAGCATCTTATGGATCCACCTTGCGATATAAGAGTGTCGAGCGAATCAAGCCTATTGGGAAGCATTCTCTTCTTGGTGCCAGTGGAGAAATTAGTGATTTTCAGGAGATTCTACATTACCTTGATGAGTTGATGTAAGTTTAGGTTTTATAGAGATTGAAAAGGGTAAAGATTTAGTTAAGTTCTTGTTATTTCTCATGGTGTTTCGCTTGAAACTTCCAACGAACTTTTGGTTATAATGTCTGATGTCTGCAGCCTCTATGACAATATGTGGGATGACGGAAACTCTTTGGGTCCTAAAGAGGTGCACAACTATTTGACTAGGGTGATGTATAATAGGCGCAACAAGTTCAATCCATTGTGGAATTCACTAGTTCTTGGTGGAGTTAAAAATGGACAAAAGTATCTTGGCATGGTAGGCCTCAGTTACATTTTGTGCAATGATGCTCAGCTATAAATCATATTCTTTTGCTATTTTTAACCCACAGTAGGGCGGGCAAAACAAATTATTGTTATATTTAATAATGATTTCCTTATGTTCCCATGCATTTTCAGGTCAGTATGATTGGAGTGAATTTTGAGGACAATCACGTAGCTACTGGATTCGGAAACCACCTTGCACGGCCAATACTTCGTGATGAGTGGCATGAGGACCTGAGTTTTGAAGATGGTGTTAAATTATTGGAGAAATGCATGCGGGTCCTCCTATATCGTGATAGATCTGCTGTAAACAAGCTTCAGGTTTGGTTCTTTTTAAATACAGCTGCCTGATTATTGACATTTTCTCCAACTATATACTGCAAACTGAATTAAGTTTTGGGGTAGTTTTTTGCTATGTAGTTTGTCATTTTTGCGGTAAAGTGGATTAATCTATATCTGATTCATTATGGATTATGTTAAGGCTCTTTTGGGTTGAGTTGAAAGTCCAGAAAGTGTATTGGCAACTGACTTGCTGTATCCATTGCATCTAGAGAACTTGGAATATAATTGGGATGGATTGATGAAACTAACAAAACTCGTTTAGGATACAGAAGTCGATGCTCATATTGTCTAATCAACTGAATGGCATGCATTCTGATGTAATCTATGGAATTGAACTGCTAGTGCTAATTTCTCATATAATTGAGTGGGGACCCTAGCCACTTAGGAGTTATCCTGATTGACCAATTAAATTTCACGTGTCAATCATACTGCCAGTGATGCAGATACTTTTAATAAAATTGCGTTAGCTGCAATCCTTGCCTTTTGGTATTTCCTTGACTATAGGGAAGTGCTTCTTTGTTATGTGTTTGTCATTTCCTTATAGCATATAACTACTGATTCCATAGGCATTCTGTCTTGATAAATCCCTCTATTCTTGGTTGCTTATTTCAACAAATGCTATAAGACTTCTCTAATGCTATATCGTTATGTGATACCTCCAAGATGATAAATCAGCTGAAAGCAGGACAGATGGAAATGCCAGTGAGTCCAGTCTAAGAGGGTTGAAAGAAAGAAGCAATAGCGCTAGCAAGTTTCTCTTTGCAAAAACCATATAGTAAAAAAGAAAGGGTTCTAAAAAGGGCATTCAAAGAAAATAGATAGGGCTCTCAAATATGGCATTCAAAAGAAAAATGCGATTAATATATCAAATGGTTGGATCATATTTCTTTTGCCTTGGAATTAAAATATAAATATTTTTCAGAAGAAAAAAAAGGGAGAAAGGAAGTGAATGATGAAGTCAAAGCCTATGTTCACATGTTGATATAATCTCTCTCTCTCTCTGTAGTGAACCCTTTCAGACTCTTTCTTTTTGCTTTGTTAAATAATGTATAAGTTTCTTTGAGTTCAACGTTTTAGTCTATATGTGCATGTCTTCCACGTGTGTGCTTGTGCCCTTGCAGATATTCTTTCTTAATCTTCAGTCTGGCTAAATGTGAAAGCTACTTGCTTTGCAACTCTCACTGAGAATGACATTAAGGAAAATAGCTTATTTAGGATTGCTTGTATGGGTAAGGACTACCATAAACTAGGCTTTTAGAAGGGCTTAGACTGGGTGGTACATCTCAGCATCATGATGTTCAACACGTGATTTTAAGGATAGCATGTACCTAAATAAAGTAGTCGATTGGTTTCTATTGATTTAAATCAAACTTCTTTTTCCTTGGGTTCTAATGGTACATTAATTGTCTGAATAATATACTTGTCTTCAAACTGATACCTGTCCGGTTAAATTTTACAATTGCAGATAGCTAAAATCACGGAGGAAGGTGTAACAATTTCACCCCCATATGCACTGAAGACCTTCTGGGGATTCACTGCATTCCAGAATCCAACAGTTGGTGCTGAAGGATCATGGTAGAGCGGTAGATGATAGCCTGCTCGGAGGTTAATCAACTGAACTGCGAGATTCACTTGAACCATGTCGGGGTTCTCTTTTAATCTGCTAGATATTATATCTGAACCATGAATATTTGCTCCAATTACTGTGGGTTTCCTTTTTCTGCTTGTTGTAATGACTAGCCATCATGTGCTTTTGGGAAGAAATTAAATCCTGCAAGTTGTTCATGTGGGAAGACCAATTCTAATGGATAATTTATTAGCATTGATAAGTGAAGTAAGAAAGGATGGTGGAGGCATGTGAATATAAAAATATTCATATAATCAAAGTAATATATATATGTCTCGGGAAACACGGTTGCTATAACAGTGAATTTTCTATTTAACCTTTTTACTTTTCTTTAGTTATATTTTTATCATATAAAATTCTTTCTATCCATTTTATTATTTTTTTAATTAAATTTTTTGCCATAATAGTTTTTTTTTTCCACTTAATTCTTTTATTGTATTTTCTAATTCTATATGTATTTTTTAAAAATTAAATATTCTGTTCAATTATTTTTTAAATCAAGGACAAGATATTATAATTTTTTAAAAATTATCGTTATGTTTTTAAATAATTTTTTCCTAATTATTTTTATTAGTTAAAAATACTTAAAATTTATTTTTTAAGAAAAATTAAGCTTCTTGTTCTTTGATGTAAATTTGGAGAGTAAATTGTGCAAAAATGTTGATTTTTGGCAAATAAAATATTGCTTCCAAATTCATTGACCAAATTTGAGCTGTTCCTTCATTATTTAATCTCTTGGTTTGAAAAATATTATTTTTTCACCAACACTATATAATTTATAAAATCTTAGAATTTTATGTTTATGGTTGGATTTAATTAACCCTTCAACAATCTTATTTAAAAAAAAAAAATTAACTCGTTCATAATTTAATTTCCATATATGTTTCAAACTAATACTATAATCCATTTTAGATGGATTTACGTACTCGTGAATACGACTGCTCAGGTTACTGAAGTTGTATTGGTCAACTGTTAATGTTGATCAATCAATATTTTTCAGTATTTGGTTGCTTATCTAAAACTTGCTTACATGCTATTCCATTGGTTCCAATATTACTCGATAAAATCGGATCCAAACCAAACCCGTTCAGCTGATGCTCAAACCCGTCTTAAACGGAGTTTGAACGTCAAGTATTCATCCCTACTTCTGCTATGCTCATCTTTCATTAGAAAACAGAAGAAAAAACAGAAAATAATGAGCATATTAAAAAGAAAAAAAAACAATGAAATGAACAAAACAAACTTACAAAACTTCTTGTCCCCCCACTGTCTGTATTTAAACATAAACGTCGATACACTTGCAATGTTTCCTTCGCTGGAGGTATGATACCGGCGCAGCCATGCCTCCTTCCAAAGGATTGATTCAGGAGCGACGGTGTCATATCTCCTGCGTAGCAAACCTCTCAGTGCTTCTAATATATATGTAGAAGAGGAGATGATAGAACTTTAATCTTCTAATATTTGGTCTGGAATTTCCGTTGTTATTATTATTGGAACCCTTCATATATATAGAGAGGCAATAGGCTTATTAGCTGTAGGGTGTTAAATTGCTAATAACTAATCACTATTTGAACAGTGATTTGATGGCTTCTGTTGGCTATCATGTGGTCGGTATTTCAAGAAACTCCATATTTAAAGCCTCTTGTGATGTCACAGCTTGTATGTAAGCAATGTACTGATGTTTCCTCACGTCAAGTTGGCAATGGCGGATTGGACGGAAGTAAAATATAAAAATGATATAAAATAAAAGTGAAAATCTATTTGGAAAATATCTCTTATTTGGTATGGATGAAAATAATAAGAAAGATGTAACATAAATTTTTATTTTACATCATTTCTACCCTATTTTCACTTCATTTTGGGAGAAAAATAATTTTAACTCCAACTTTATTTTATTTCCTCCCTCTTCCCAAACATAGCATAAATTATACGGTGCCTTGCATATAAAATTGCAAATGATTGAAGTCACTAAACTGTTGGGATATCCTTTCAAGTCCCACGTCGAACAAATGTGAGAAGAGGAACCAAAATATAATTGGGAGGTGTCCAAAAATAAATTCGTGAGGACTTGATTCAAAGCGGACAATATCATACTAATTCAAAATTGGATGAGGGGACGCGCAGTCCCATCATAAACATATGCTCGCTTTGTCCCGAAATTTTTGTCTTACTTCCTCAATCCTAAGTTGTCTTAGTTTTCTCTTTGGAGCTTTGTTTTCCCCTCCTTTGCATCCAAAAGAAATATATCTATATATATAATTATATAATTAAAACCTAATCTTCTTTGGATTCGTCAATGCTAAATTGGTTAAAATACCTTAAATTAGATGAAGGTTCATTCACTTCATGGAATTAAATAATAAAAAGGTATTTAAAATCTAAAAATTTTTGAATTTGATTCAATGCATTCAACTTGATCTCATTCATCATTAATGCTTTGTATTGATGTTCTATCTCAATTCTTACACACACACATGTACTATATATGGTGAAAATTATTTGGATTGGAGTGGAGGGAGGTGGTCCCACTTTCTTTTTGGAAGGAAAAGGTCACAATCAAAGTATTCAAAAACTGAGCTGTAATTTCGTCAAAAAAAAAAAAAAAAACTGAGCTGTAATCCCTTTACCATCTCACTTTCACCTTTTCAGATCTGTCCTTATTAGGCAGCTTGCTTTCACCAAATTACTCATAGTACACTTCCAGTTTTTTAACTTCTAACAACTTGGCACGGTTAAATTTGATTTTTACTTTGTTATTAAGCCAGAAATTATCATTGGAAAATTTGTCAAAATCTAACAATAATAGTTTTATTAAAATAAAAATAAAAGTTCGTTGATTTTGTTAATACAAATTGAAGATTAACGAAGCTTTGAAGATTGGTAGGTGTTTGGTTGAGCTTGACTATCTTTTTAACTAAGTTTGCAGGTTCTTAAAGGTTGTCAGGCTTGAGGCTTTCTGCCCCAAAAATATTAATATGTAATCCAGATTTTTATCCTGCTAAGTATTAGAGTAAAATCCAAACTGATAGAATAAAATTCAATCTATTTAATGACATATTGTATATGGAGTTTAGAAATTAAATTCAACTTAGATTAATATGGATAAGATATTAATATAATATAATCTGATTTCAATTTCATTTTCTTATATATAAACTTAATTTACACACTTAAACTCTATTTTCTTATAGAATCTTCAATTTCATTTTCTATATCACGAGATCGATTTACAAACACTAAACTATTAGTTTAATTTGAGTTTCATTAGTCGCAAATTGCAATGAACAATCCTGTATAACAAAATTTAAAATAGATTGTATAAAGTCGGTTTATACTAGAGAGAAACTTCAACTCTCATTCTTCCATACAAGAAGATTTGATATTCAAACATTAAACTTTAATTTAATCTGATTTCCTTGCAACTTGAAATGTATAATCATTATATACATTTTAAAAAAAAAAAAAAAAAGCTAAAGTGAAGGAGTAAAGTTCAGCTGCAACTTCTCTTCAAAGCAGTGGACAGCGAGGAGGAGATGCTTTCTATTTTGGCTTGTGCGTTTTCCTTTTTGCATGTGGGGTGGAGGCGGAGGACAATTAGGTGAGTGAACTGTGAACGTGGGTGATATTTACATGTGGCCCCTTTTTCTTCTTTTTCCATCACTAAAATTTGATGGAAGTGACTTTAGAGATTCACACACTCCTTCCTCTATTAGAAATTATATTATTTCTTGTCAGCTAAGAGGGGTTTGGTTCAGTGGTTGAGGAGCAGTTTTTGATAGTTATTTTTAATAATTAAATTAACCTGTTTGATAAACTAAAAAAAAAAAAAAAAAAAAATTTTTCCATCACTAAAATTTGGATGGAAGTCGATTCTCAGACGATTCACAACCCTTCCTCTATTAGAAATTATATTATTTCTGTCAGCTAAGAGGGGTTTGGTTCAGTGGTTGAGGCAGTTTTTGGATAAGTTATTTTTAATAATTTAAATAACCTGTTTTGATAACTAAAAAAAAAAAAAAGAAAAAAAAAATCTTAGCATCGACTAGCAACTTTACTATTTTTCAATTGTTTCTGTTTGAAAAGCTTCATTTTGGATTATCTTTAATCCAAATTTTTAATCAACAACTTATTATTACAAAAAAAAAAAAAAAAAAAATCTTAGCATCGACTAGCACTTTATATTTTCAATTGTTTCTGATTTGAAAAGCTTCATTTTGGATTTATCTTTAATCAAATTTATCAACAACAATATTACGCTTTCTTCAATTAACTTTTTAAGTCATTTCAGAAATTCATTAGGAAGACTTGTGCATTAGTAACTTAACTGCTATAAGTTATAGTAATGAATCTTCCATTGAGTTCATATAACCCCGCCCTAAAGTCCAGGCTCTTGTCGACTCTTTTGAGGATATCTTTGCCATATCTTCCTTTTTCACTTTCGATGTTTTCCACAATATTTTTTTTAATAGTCAGTCAAAACGCTAAACGCTATTTTTTATGATGTTCCGTAACATATCGTTTGAAATAACTTTTAGAAATTAAGGTAGCTTTTGTAAAAAGTTAATTCATATAACGTTTAGCTTATAAAAACAACTAACAGTTATCAAAATATTTAATTTTACCGAACAAATCCCTTTATCGTAGCAACTTCCATGGAAAGTTTGTTGTTGAACAAAACAAATGGTTTAAAAGAAATTTTTGACTAAGGCGTGTAAAAAGAAAGAAAAAATATGATCACGTCCCTAAATTATAGCAAAATTAGCACATTAGTCCTCTCACTTTCAAGAAGTGTCTCTGAAGTCCTTAAATTATGCTTCCTTCCCACAAATTGGTCCCTTCATCCATTTTTATTGCATTTTACTGTTAGTAAATTAGAAAAAGATCAGTCAAATGAAAGATAAATTAATTAAATGACAAGTGGTACCCTTGCCAAAGCACAATAAGTGGCCCTTTTTTATTCATACACTCTCTAAAACCCGACAAACCGAGTGAAACAATCCGGAAATTTTCTTTCAAAAGTTTTTTATTTAAAAATTTAAATATTAATTCTAACCAATGATATTAGGACATTATTATATTTAAAAATAATTCAATTGAGGCTTTGCAAAATTATTAAACAAAATTTAATAACAAATACTTTTGTTATTGCTAAATCAAACCTTAAAAATTAAATTAAACCCATAATCAATTAAAAATCACTCAAAACAAGGGTCTAGACTGAATCAACTCCGATTTAAACCAAACCACTCACTAAAACCCTGAAAAGAAAAAAAATCCCAATTTCCTATCTTCTCTCGCCGACTTTGCCGACAACCCCTACCCCCATCCCCTTCTATGGTTTCTATTCATCGGAGCTCAAGCTCCGCCGACTTAACCACCCGCACCTCGCTACCGATCCCTCCGGCCACCGCTTTCTATATTTCGATGCGTTGTAGTGTAAACGAGAGAGAAGCAAAGGCTGCATGCATTTCGTTTACGATCGGACAACTCCATCTCAATTTTGCCTCTCGATTTTCCGGCAACGTCTGTCCTTAGCCGGCAATTGTTATCTAGCCTTGTCATTTGTAGCTTCTTTGGCACCATTTTTCCTTTTTCTCGATCAATCATTGTGTCGCTAGAGAGAGAGTGCGACCTCGATTGAAGCAGTTCGTTCCTCCTTGTTGCTCGCTTTTCCGGCAACACCTGCCACTACCTGGTGGAAGATGAATTCATCATATTTTTATTTTGGGAAAAATTTCTTTCCTATTGTTAGCAGGGGCTATTAGTTTGAACAAGGTTAATTATGTCTTATCATAATTGACTAACGGCAAAATGCAATAAAAGTGGACGGAAGCATAATTTAGGAGTTTCAGAGCCACTTCTTAAAAATAGTAAGACTTACTTGTTAATTTTGCTATAATTGATGGCGTAATTAAATATTTTACGTATCCAACTTTAAATATTTAAAAAAAAAAAAAAAGAAAAGAAAAGGACATGTTTATTAATCAGAAATGTTCCCATAAAATGCATTCATGGGAGTTTGTAGAAATGGTGGAAATGCATCCATTTAAGCAGATGACTGTAAATCCAATCTCTCTCACGCAGCTTTAAATAGCATGATGTTGTGTTTAACAAACATTTCATTTCACCACCATACGACAAAAGATGATGCGACTCTACACTGTTCCAATAATGGTGTATGCTTTCTGGTTCGATGGCACTGCCTGTCATAATTATAAAATCACTACAATTATTATTTTTAAACAATTACTATAACATCCCTAAATGTCACGTAAACTCTCATATTCTTCTATCTAAAATATCAGCACTTCACTTTAATCAAACATCTTTTTGAAGAGGAATGTGCGATTTTTTTACGATAAAATGACTAATAGTGAGTTTAAGTAAATATTAACGACGTGGTAATAATTTCTCAAACACAAAGAGATTGCAAGTGTTAATTATAATATACTTTAGGAATCTAGTTATATTTTATCCTTATAATATTGGAATTAAATTGCCTAAACTGAGTTCATATCCATCCATTCTTGAAATTAAATTAATAAAAAAAAAATAGATTTTAAATGGAGGGAGGATATTCACGCCATTTACTAGAGAAAAAAAAAAAGATAAAGTGAGAATAATATTTAAAAAAAAGAATTTATTTTTATTGATTTGATTTATGGATGAACTTATTCAAAATAAATCTAGTTAGTTTAATTTTTTATTTTATGCTGTTATTAATTTTTAGTTTTTAAAATGAAAAAAAAATATTATATCTTGAAATGTTCTATTAAATGGTAGTAAATCGGAGTCTAACAAGCGAAATTTTTTAAAAAATATTAGTCGATTACTTCAAATCCTAACTCTTTTTTTCTTTTTGGAATTCTACAAATCCAACTTTAAGTTGGATAAACCTTTATTTTAATTTTTTTTATATGTTATGAAATTGGCCTTTTCTTTTTAGCCAAACATTTAGAATGTGTTTTTTTTTTTAATTTACCGATGAATTCATTTATATTATAAATTAGCTAATCAATTATTTGGACCTAATAAATTTTATTCACTTATTAATTATTTACGGAATATACTATTTTTTGGCTTTCTTACAAAGTGCATTTCCCGAGAAATGAACTTGTGTGTTTTTACACTTATAGAGATTGAGATTGCTAACCACCTCAACGAACATCTTGTTGATATATTAATTATTTGTTTAAAAAATAGTGCTCCTTACTTTCCAAAAACAGATAGTCCACTTTTTATTTCACATAGATTAGTGAGTATTAATAATTATTATGGTTAAAAGATAATTTTATTCGTATAACTTTTCAATTATGTTCATCTTAAATAACACATGAGTAATTATTATATTAAAATAATAAATAAAAATTGTTGAGGATTATTGAAAATAAAATAAAATTTAATAAGGATATAGTAGATAATTTAAGGATTAACTGTAATAAAAATAAAGAAAATGCATTATATTTTGAGACAAACGAAAAAAGAAAAATGGATTAAACTTGCAAGTAGCTTGCTCTTTTTATCCTTATTTGCAAGTTTAAGCAAATTTTTCCTCTTTTTAATGCTTTTAAAATTCTCTCCTTCTCGGATTAAACTTGTCTAAAATGAGTCTGCGTCCGTCCATGGATTAAATCAATGAAAATAATTTTTTTTAATTAGTTCTATTTTATAAAAAAAATTATTTTTTATCAGTTTAATATAGGAGAGGAAGCCGAAGTATGTAAGTCAATTTCCTCTATCTCTCCCTCTTATGTGACTTTATAAATCATAACACTCAACCGTTTTCTCAAAAAAGGAAAAAGAAAATCATAACCTTCAAAAGAGAAAAAAATGCAGTCCATGCTAAATCTCCATGGAACCTATGGCCTACCTCTTTCTGTTTTAGGAATCACTCACTGTCTCACTCTTTCTAGAGAGTACTCTCTCTCTCTCTCTCTCTCTCTCTCTCTCTCTCTTTATGTTTTTTAATATTTTTTTTTGTTTATTTCAATATTTATCTGATAATTATTATTGTCTTTATTTTTGGTGAAGAATGGCAGATCAGGATCGCAGACGACAGGCACTAAATAAACGAAGATCACAAGTTAGAGAGGGTATGCATGCAAATCAAGAAATGGGTATTGAAAGAATTATCCAAGAGGGTGAGAATGAGATAGATGGAGATCTAACTATTGTTTTACAGGATCTATCTTCTTCTTCGACAGCAAAGGCTGCATAACTTTTGGTTTTTTTAATTAGTGATATTATTATTAAATATTTATTGTATGCTTTTAATCTATTTTCTCTTTAATTTAGCAATATTAAGTACAGTTTTATTTTTTTTTCTGTGATGTTTATTGTTTGGTTTGATATGAATATGATATTCCGAATGTGTTCCTTTCTGTTATTTCCTTTTTTTTTTCTTCTTTTTCAATATGTAAATAAATTAAAATCATCATAATTTATTTATGTTTTTATATATAAGAAAAAACTGGCAGGCTTCCGAAATAGACTTATGACGTTCTTCAAGCTCATTTAGACTTTTGTTTTGGGATTGGATTTCGAGCTTTTTTTTTTTTTTTTTTTTTTTTTTTTTGTTTTGGATTGGATTTCGTTTTTTTTTTTTTTTTTTTCTTTTTAAGTTGTCTTTCAAAAGTCAAGAGTTAAAAGAATAAACTAAAGATTTTGGTGTTCATAAATCATGGTTTGCTAAAGCTTACTAATTAATTGTTACCTTAAATTCAATTATGTTTTTTAAAAATAATTCATATTGTATATTTAGTCATAAAAATATTTATTTAATTTTTAAAAACATCATATTACACGTCAATATATATAAATTAATTATTTTAAAATTCATTAATCGCTAAGTTTCAACTTGATCAATCTTATTTTCACTGTAATTTATGTTTTATAATTTTTAAAAATAATTTTTTATGTACTCATATAGCTTTTGAATAAAATTTAGTCGGTTTATAATTTATATAATTAAAGATCCATGTATCATGAATTTATAACCTTCAATTTGTAAATTGGAATATAGAATTTGTAATTAATATATTTTTATAAATTTCTTAATTAAAAGAAATTTATGCATGTACTAATTTACCTATTTTTTATGCTTGTAAAACTACTTTTATATCATATTTTATATACACGATTCAAATGATAAGCAATAATTTTATTTTTAAAAAATTTAATAATGCTAGAAGATAAATTTTATGTACATGAATTTGAATTATAATTTTTTTCTAGATAATTTTATATTTCTAGATAATTTTATATTTATCATTAGACAATATTTTATATAATACGTCATGCCATAGAAAATAAATATAGATAAAAGAAAAGATAAAGTTAGGAAATATATAGATAAAAAATAGAATAACAAGTTGAGTAACCTATTACCGTAAGTTTCTTTATACACGTGTCAATTAATGAGGATTCTGTAACAATACAGAATAATTACTCTCTGTACAGTAATCGTAGTAAAAGCGTAATCAGAACTTGGAGACAAAAAATTCATGTTGTTGGCTCTTTTATACTTTATCCTATTTATTAATATATGAAATAAATTTAATTTTTTTTCTCAGATTTTTTTTTACAAGTATTTCAATTTTTTTTTTCGATTTATATTTTGTTTTGCCTGGACATTAATATGATCATATATTCATATAGTTGACTCAAAGGAGTTTAGAACTAAGTGTTGGTTGTTTTTGTTTGTTGCAGCAATGATATATGCGGAGAGTGTATTTTCTACGATGAAAATAATGAAATTTGATTACATAATTATGCGAAGATAGTTTTATAAATGATTATTTAGTTATTATATCAAGAAAAATGTATTTTTATAATATTGAAAATTAAAAAAATTATTAACCGTATTGGAATATAAAAACTCGTAGGAAACAATTATAAAATGAAAAATCAATTTTATTTGCTTCCTTAGGAGTAACATCCTATATCGTCCGAATGAGATAATTTAACAGCAAAGAGTACTTGCAGAGTTGATTATTATGACTTAGATCATGAGTTTGATCCTCCAAAATTTAAATTTCTCTTGGGTCAATCTCTTTCTCCGAAGGCGAAATTAATCAAATTTATGGACAGTTAAACGGACATAAGCCTTAATAACTTGTGCAATTATAAAAAAAACAAAATCCTATTTCCGTGTCTTTGATTTCATGATATGAACTTTATAAGGGAAAAAAAAAGGTTGAGGATTTCAGAACTTGAACTCGTCATTTTTACAAAACATCGTTAATCACTTGTTACATTTAATTTACAAAATTAAAATTTTGAATTTTATTTTATTTTTTTTTAAATTAAAGCTGTTTGGTTTGCAGTAGAAAATCGGACTGTATCAAATCGAACCAGTGATGGGTTGGCAAATTAGCCGGTCCGACCATCTGGTCCGTTCCAATTTTCAAAACACTCATTCGACCATTACGACTCATGAGAAACTACCCACTTTTGGTTTGTCTACAACAACGAGAAAAAAATGCACGGTTCAACTTCTCACACTCGATTCTCTTTCAAGTGTTTATCAAATTCAGCTTCACTACTCACTATCAGAAACCCTAATCCTTGTGAAGAACTATCTCTCCCTCTGGAAAATGCCAGAAAGCTTCGAGATTTTTCTACGGCATGAACACTAGTAGAAAATTCGCTATCTGGGTAAGTTGATTACAAATGATTTCTATGCGTAAAGATTGCTGGACACAAATTTACTCTAAAATCTATTTTATCAATAATCCATGTTTCTCTTATAACTCCAAAGGCTCATCTAATTTTGCATTTCCATTTTTGACCTCTCTGAACCATTATTCTGTTAATTCTTGTCTATTTAAATCCAGTATCAATTCATTCAAGTTTGTGAATATTTTATCTCAAAACCGAATAGGTCCTGTTTCTATTTTGCCTTCAAATGCAAAACTTCAAGGCTTTTTTGGTGGGTTTTTGTTTTCCTTTTACTCAACTAGAGTACCTTCAAGGTCATTAAGAAGGAGGCAAAGTAAAAGATTAAAAGCAAGTAGGAAGCCCATTCTTGATGAAACTAAGTTTCAAGAAGCAATTGCTAAACTCCCACCAAGATTCAATAATGACGAACTGTGTTATGTCTTAACACTTGAAGAAGATACTTTAGTATGTTTTGAGATATTTAATTGGGCATCACAGCAGCATAGGTTTAGGCATGATACATCCACTTATCATATTATTATAAAGAAGCTTGGTGTTGCTAAAATGTATCAAGAAATGGATGATGTTGTAAATCAAGTGCTTGCTATTCCTCATATTGGTAATGAGGCTTTGTATAATACAATTATCTATTTTTTCACTGAAGCTAGGAAGTTGACCAGAGCAGTGAATATATTTAACCACATGAAAAATGGTCGTAACTTGGAATGCAGGCCATCGATTCGAACTTATAACATTCTTTTCACAGCAATGTTGAGTAGGGGGAAAAATTCTTATATAAATTATGTATATATGGAGACTATTAGATGTTTGTTTAAGCAGATGGTCAATGATGGAATTGAGCCTGATATTTACTCATTGAATTCTATGATAAAAGGGTATGTTCTTTCACTTCATGTTAATGATGCTCTGAGAATATTCCATCAAATGGGTGTGGTATATCAATGCTTGCCCAATTCATTCTCTTATGATTATTTGATCCATGGGTTATGTGCTCAAGGTCGAACGAATAATGCTCTGGAATTGTGCGATGAGATGAAGAGAAAAGGGTTTGTTCCAAGTAGTAAGTCATATAATTCGCTTGTTAATGCTTTGGCTCTTATCGGAGAAGTTGAGGAAGCAGTAAATTATTTATGGGAGATGATTGAGAAACAAAAATTGCCTGATTTCATCACATATCGAACAGTGTTGGATGAGATGTGCAGGCAAGGAAAGCTTGGGGAGGCTAGGAACTTGTTGAAGGAGTGGGAAGAGAAACACTTTGTGGATGGACCTACGTACAGGAAACTACTATACGTGCTTGAAGATGATTTTGGAAATTCAAATGACAGAAAATGAATCAGGTATGGAGCATTGGGCTGCTTTAACAATTTTGTACATGATATAGTTCTGCTATATTTGAAATGGAATTATATATCTTCTTCAATATCATAATTGATTATTATGTTATATCGGTATATTATGTAATTATGTAACTTTTGTGGAAGCATATATTGATGTGTTGTCTCCAGCTTGCAACTTAACATGTAATTCTGTTAAATACTTCACATTTGTTACCAATTATAATGCATATGAGAATTTGGCAAACAAAAGTCAAATTGGTGTTCCTAAATACCTTTATCAACTTTATTCAATTTTTTCAAAGCATGTCCAGTGAACTACAGTCTGCAATTTTAGAACCCTTCAGTGTTTTTTCTTGTTCTGGTTCCTGCCTATTTGAGTTCCTACTGCCAAGTATAGCGTTTTAATGGAGGATCATATTTATATAGAGGTCTATTTCTAATTCTAATCCCTGGTTGGATCTAAGCAGTGCATGAAATTCTCATGAGTGAATATTATCAGGGATGCTGTAAAGATAGTTTTGTAATTTCTGAGCTATCAATTTTGCTTAAACTTTAAAAATCAATGTGTATGTATTATGAAGCAGTTGTTTTCTATTTGTGTAAAAAGCAGAATGTTGATGTGATATTGTTCTGTCATTATTGCAGTTAGGTCAACCCAAGCTTACTATTTTCACAATCATGAACAATTCTTATACCTTGTGAAGCAAAGAAATCTCTTCAGAAAATAAATAAAATCTGACAACAATATTGAATGATTTTTGGCACTTCTGTTATGTGGAATTTAATGCAGATGTTGATAGTTGAAAGAATTAGTAACAAGTCTTGAGAGGGCTTGGTGTAGTATGCCAAATTCATGCAAATCTAATTCTTTACTGCTCGTGTCAGCATTTGATTCATATATGTCTGGACTTCTTCTGGAATCTCAGTTCTAATTTTGTTCATGTATAATATACGAATTGTTGATATAGGTTGCTTAATGGCCGACTCCAACTAGTTTATGATTAAGGCTTGGTGGTTGTTGTTGTTTGTTTAGGTTGCTTAATGGGCGCTCCATTGTCTGATTTGTGACGTGGCGGACAACTCTAACTTTCAATAAGAATTGCACAACCTAGCCAGATTGGAACTGGGTGCTCCCAAATGCTTAATTGACATTCTTCTACACTGCTGTAAAGTTTGCTGTGATCTTACCAAGATGATAAGTAATTTGTCAAGGAGCCGAAGACATGAAACCCAATTTCTTGAAGACCGATGATGATGGGTCCTCAAGATGATTCCCACCAAGCTCACTACTGGGGTGACTGTCCATGTAGGGGACATGCACCATGCTCTGAAGAATATAACCAGTGAAAATCACTACGTGGGGTAGAAGGTGGATTTTGTTTCAACTATGGCCCCAGGTTCTGTTGCATCTTGTTGCCATTACAGTATAGTGAATGTAGTTTGGCTAACGTGGTAGTTTGGCGCACCTTATGGTCCTATAGCTTTTGGCTTTATGGAAGCTCTATTTACCTAGTTTTGGATTTTATAAAGTTGAGATGTGTTATGTAGCAGATGGCCGAGGAGTTATTCTCAGTCATGTTAAACTTGAAGATTTTGAGCATTTAGTTTCGTATGGTGAATTCTGATGGTGGATTCCTGTGTCTAAAATAAATATTGTTTTTAGTCTTGTTGTAGTCATCGGGTTTTATCTACTCTGGATGGAAGTATATAAAATCTGAACTACAAATTCATAGCTTTTCTGAATGCAATAACTTTCACATTGTGCTCGAGTTAAATGAATATGAAATTTATAAACAAATTCAAAATTTTGAATCTTACTTGGACACTAAGTTTTATACTTAATAGTTTAGACTAGGGATGAAAGCCGGGCAGTATTTGCAAATTTTGAATTATTTGAATTATCCGGTATTTGCAAATTTTGAATCATGATTCAAACCCATTTAGAATTTTAATACATACATCTGTTAAACTCCTTCAAAATATCCCATTTATCCCTTAAATGGGCAAGTATTTGCAAATTTTAAATTCGTTTAAAATATCCCATAGATGGATGGTGTTCGCAAATTTTAAATTACCCAAATCTCTACTCCCTAGCTGTATCAAATTCGTAAGTAACTATCCGTATTTTTGTTAAAATTAAATTTAAATCAATTGGGACATTATTCTAAAATACCTATTCCGCTTCCATCAACCTTTACTTTATCATTGTTGCTAATTCAATGGGTATTTTGGATATAATAATGTCCATGCTGTGCTTGAAACCAATGAAATATTGAATTATTTGTTTCCCACTGTATATCATCAGAAACAAAGGAATTTTTATGATTGGTATCATAGAATATTAATCATGTGAGAACCATGATAAAATAACAATCTAGAAGAATTCATGCACCAATTTTACCAATTTCATGAAATTAAAGATAAAATTTTATAAAATTCATTCTTTTTCCCCTATCACAATCATTAAGTATGACGCGATAAGCATTACACAGTTACATGTTCAATGCTAAAAATTTTGTGAATCATAAACATGAACTTTCAAACTTTCAAGTGAAACTCCTTGTATAGGATGAGACTTTTGAAATGGGTCAACTCAACTGGTCCTTGCATACAAAATGAATGCATTCTCAAGCAGGTATTAAACAAACCTTGATCACGAGATGGATAAGAAAACAACATCAGACTTTGTCTACAATCCACAATGTGACCAGGGCTAGGATGTCTGTCCCATAGATGTCGAACCTTGTTGATTCCATTGCGACTTTCATCTGCACTTCTGCTTCTGTCTATAAATCCCTCAACTGCACCACATGAAAGGGCAATGAGCTATAAGAGAGAAGTGACTTTGGGAAGGGTCTGTATTATCAAATGATGAGAATTTCAGAATGATTCCAGTCTTTGTATTGCAAAATAATTGCAAAAGATTTTTTGAATAGAACCTCAAAGAAAGTTAGAATTCAAGCCTCTAGTCCCTCTATAATTAGAGTGTAAAAATAAGAGGTCTTTTAGGCTACCTTAATGAAAATCACAAATCTCGATCACTGTCAATCTGTGCTTTTGTTGCTGCCTTTTCTGCTTCCTCCAAAACGAATGATTTGAGAGATTCAACATCTCTAGGCCCTAATCATGTCAAACATGTAAAATTTAAGTCATAGGATTGCTATAAAAACACCGATAAAAAATCATTTTAATGCTGCCAAAGTAATGCCAAATGCAGAAGCAAATTCTGGTCCTAAAAAAGAAAAGCAAAGAAGTTGAGTTGAGTTTTTTTTTTAACTTAATCTTTTTAAGGGTATTTAGTTGCTCCATTTCTTAAAGGACTTGTTTATTATCATAAGAACTGCCAAAGCAAAAAAAAAAAAAAAAAAAAAAAAAAAAAAAAAAAAAAAAAAAAAAAAAAAAAATATGAGGTCTTTTTAGGCTTTTACCTTAATGAAAATCACAAATTTCTCGATTCACTGTCTCAATTCACTGTGCTTTCATGTTGACTAGCCACTTATCTTTCTTGACTCTCAATATAATTCGCATATTTTCTTTCTCAGGTGTTTTCTCTAGGCCTAATATGTTCAAACATGTTATAATTTTAAGTTCATAAAGATGCTTATTTATAAACACCACGATAAAAAATCTGAACTCATAATTTTTAATGCTGCCAAAGTAATGCCAAATGCGAGAAGCGCGAATACTTTGCCTGTCCTAAAAAAGAAAAAGCAAAGAAGTTGACGTTGTTTTTTATTTTTGTTTTAACTTAATCATATTTAAGAAATTATTTAGTGTGACTCACAACTTTATCCTTTATAATGACTATAGAAATTAATATCAGTTAGAGATAACTGCCTCGAAAGCAAATACATAAACAAAAATAACATAAATAAAAAAAAAAAACAAAAAAAAAAAAAAAAAAAAAAAAACAACAGAACAACAACAGATGAAAGAATAAGTTTCTACAGAAGTCTTGAGTGTGCACTGAAAATTTCTCCTCCTAATATGAAGTGTAATAGGATTATGATTCGAACATATATTAGAGGCTTACTTTGAGATCCTACTTATTAAGATAATGGGCTATGAGTACTGAAGCCAGCTCTTAGTGACTCGTCCTCTCATTCATTTGGGATAGTTTAAAGAAAAAAAAGAAGCTCTCTCATACAAGTGCAACATGCTATTGCTGGCTTCTAGCCATTAAACCCAATTCACACAGCATCTTATTAAGAAGGGAAAACCCAAGAAAACACATCCAAACCAACTTTAACTTGCACAAAAAAAAAAAAAAAAAAAAAAAAAAAAAAAAAAAAAAAAAAAAAAAAAACAACAACAACAACAGAGAAAGAAATAATTACAGAGTGGAATGCAAATTTCCCTCCTAATTGAATGTTATAGATATGATTCAGAACCTCTAATTAAGAGGCTATGAGACCTCTTATTAGACAATGCATGAGTACTGAAAGGAAGTCTAGGACCTTATTCATGTTGGGATAGTTAAAGAAAAAAAGAAGCTTCTCATACAAGTTGCACATGCTATGCTGGCTTTAAGCCATTAACCCAATCACAAGCATCTTATTAAGAAGGAAACACCCAAGAAACACATAAACACTTTACTGCAGGTCTCGTAAAAATTGGCATGCAGATTAGCTGAAAGTTAACAATGATTCTCTATGATTTTAATAGACCAAAACTAACTTACAAGCTATTGTGATAGCTCTCATCATGGCGTATAAAATTTCATGATTTTTGGGAAATTTCACTTAAGTCTGTGTATCCAGCTAATATTGAATTCTCGTAACACTGATATATCTAGTCCTACAAATAGATTTGTTGTTAACAAAAGAAAATGACTTTCTTGGATTGCTTTTTAATTATAACTCCTCTCCACACAATTTCTTGTCCCTTCACCAGTGTACAATTTGCCCGTACAAGAAAACACTATTGCTAACACAGATTCCAGGTATACTCAATTTATGTCATACATGATTGCTCCCTATCCTTCTGAGTTCTTTTTATCCCAACCCTCGGTTGCTCTACTTGGATGACTGTACTAATTCTTTGTCCGCAGCAGGCATCAAAATCTAAGTTTAAGATTAATGTTCCAAATTGTAGGCTAAAACCTGAACAATAGGATATTGACCAAAACCTAAACGTATCATGAAAAGGTGTTGAAATCGTTAAATCTAAAGGCTAACTTTCACTCCTTAAATAATAAAAAGTACAATAAGAAACCCTTTATCATTTCAATCGTCAAAAGAAAGTTGGGAACAAATGAAATTTAAATTTTACCTTGATATTTAGCAACTTCTTCTCCATCATAGAAGAGCTTAAACGTAGGGTATGAGTGAATATCAACTTTTGTACATACAGATTTGCTCGTACCGCAATCAACTTCTCCGACCTCTATTTCATCTTCCCCTTCCATTGCTTTCCCAAGATCTTCCCACAATGAGCCCAAATTCTTGCTGCCATTCATCATTAAATTCACAACAATAAATATAAATTTCCATAAAAAAATTGTAGCTATAGCATACTCAAAAAAATTAAACAATTAACTAAACATTATCTCACTTACCAATGCTTACACCAAGGAACACAAAATTTCACAAACCATGCAGTATCTTTTTCCTTCACCTAAAAAATGAACAAACAAAACCAATCAATAACTTCATTAATGGTTATGATTTCGAATTATAGAAAAGGGAAATAAGAAAAAAGCAGTCAATTTAATCTATTTCCAAAAAAAAAAAGATTTGAAAGTGGAATTAGGTGATAAATCTGCTGACTGGTTTCATAGTACAATTATCTAAGCAGAATTACTCAAAAATTAAATCTCCAAATATAAATCCAACAGTGAAAATACCACATGATTTTATAAGGCATCACCTTGTCAGAGAAGGTGTCCGGGGTTAGGGTTATGACTTCGGCTTCTACGTGAGTTATAATTAAGCTCGAAACAAGGAGGATAAGAGATAAGAAAGCAGAAGCGGGACTAAGCTTCTTCATTATTGTGCAGATAGTGCAGATAGTGATGATGGTGGTGGTCGTGGCGTTATTTCCGGCGAAAATGGTACAAACAAGGACCCAACAATCTGCTCTTTGTTGATCTTCCAGATCTAGAACCGGTTTACAAACCTTTATACGGACAGCTGGCCGCCGGTTTACTCGTCACGTGCCATGCGCGTGAAAGCTATCATCCAAGCGACAATATTTACCATAATCAATTAACTAATTATAGTTGTAAACTACGTGTCGTTTAGTATCTCAATAATGGTCCATCCGCAGAGGATAAATACCAGTGAGGAGGTCGTGTAAAAATGAACGGCAATTGCAGATTAGTGTTTTTTTATTTTTCCTGATTATTTTATTTATAGTTATTTAAAATAATATTTTTATTAAATATTTTTTCAAATTTTAATTGATGTTTTTTATTTATATAATACATTATAATAAAAATAATATGATCACTTTAAAAATAAAAATATATGTTATTCATCATAATATATAAAAAATATATTTTTAATAGTTATGTACATTCTAACAACAACCTCTACTATCAAAATTTTATCCAAATATCAACATTCATCGGTTAACCGCTAAGTCATACAAATACCTTTAATGATTTAAGTTATCCATCTCGTACCTCATATTTACACTCTTTGAATACTTCCAGACACATGTTGAGGATTTTAAAAAATGTATCCTATTATTTGTTTTATTTTATTAATTTCAGACATTTTAAGGACACATCTAAGACATTTTAAAAGCACTTATTGAATATTTTAGAGACATGTTTGAAAGTTCTTCTAGGCTTTTAAATAAATTCATTAATAAAAATTTAAAACATTATTGTCTTAAATATATATTTGTGATTATTAATACTTAAAATACAAAATTAAAAAGAAACATAAAAAAATGAAAAAGTCTACCTTATAATTTATAATTTGCAATTTATTGCATATCTATTATTATCAACTTCAAGAACTAATTTATAATGTTAATTTGAAATCAGTAATTCAAAAGGCTATATATAAAAAAAAAGGGTTGACAATATTATATTAAACAATCTGAAACATGAAATATTATTGGAGATTAATTTGATATTTTTTAAAAATGTTAAAATTATTGAAATTGTGAATTTATCTTTAAATCTAAGCTCGTTGGAGATGCTATGATTTTCAATAATTATGTTAATTTCGAGGTTTACTGATTATGTTGAAATAATAAATTAAATATTTTTTAATTTTATATTTATTGTTATAAATGATTATTTACCTATTTGAATTATTAATAGATTATATTTATTTAGTGTAGCATATCTTAAATATGTCGGTATCCTACTTTATAATAAATTATTATATCCCATGTCCGTCGTGTCTTGTCGCGTGTCCCATGTTCGTTTTTGTACTACCTAGGCTAACCGCTACTCACTAGTTATCAGCAACCACTATCAACCATCCTCTAGTACGAACAACTAAATCAAATGAACATTTTAATTTAACGGATAGCTAATTTGTACTCAACAAATATATTATACTTGTTTGGTAGTTTTTTAATTAGAAGCATATTTTGGAGCTTTTTTTTTTTACATGACCGTTGATTTATATTTCATAGACTTCACTGGTCTCATAAAATAATTATTAATAATTTTTTTGAAATTAATATTTTTATGATTAATTTATTTATAATTATCAAATCACAATAATTTTAATATATATACACATTAATTACATAACTATATTTCTCATGGCCAACTTTCAATAGCTAACCGCGCGACCAACTGTTAGCCAAACTAAACAGACCCTAAAAAATGGTAAATATTTTAAATATATAATTTTTTATTTTAGTGATACAAAGTTTATAATAATATATTAATTGTAGACAAGTTTTAATAAAAAATTATATATAAAAATTAAATAATATATGCAATGGAAATAAGTATGTGCAACGCTTATTCAAGAAAGGTTAATTTTATAAAGTGTGGGATAGACATGTTATTATATTTTCAATGAGAAATATTTGTTTGTTATATTATAAATATCAAGATTTGAATTTTAAGTTCAAAAACATTCAAACTCTTGTTTGGAAGAACTGGATTTCCATAAAATTTTATAGATTTCAATTACAAATCTAAATTTTTATATTTAACAGGAGAAAATAAAAAATTATATTATATTATTTATATAAATAAAATTAATTCAATTATATAAATATGAATATACCTAAACTAAATTCTACAAAAAAGCGTAACTATTAAAAGAATTTTACAACCAAAACTTCATGACAAAATAATTCCGAACATAAAAATACACATAAATAAAATTTATTTATAAATGACTTTCACATTTTAAAATTATTTTATCCACAATAAAGGTAGCGTTTAAATTTTGAATTGAATTTCTTAAAAGTTTATAAAATTCATTCCTTCATTGTTTTATTTATATTAAAGATAGCGTTTAAATTTTGAAATGAATTTCTCGAAAGTTTATAAAATTCATTCATTCGAAATAAGGGATAATAAGGGGCAAGGTGTAAACATTCAATCAATATAATAGGAGATAAAATTTTTAGGAATAATGCTAATTTGGCCCTGAATTAGTGGGATTTACCTTTTAGCTCAATTTAGCACGTAAAGTTGTTTAAAATAATTAAAAAAATAATATTCTCTCAGTCTCATTTTGTTTACATAGTTTGACAAAATTTAATTAATAAAATTTATTTTGCTATTTTTTACCTTAACTCATTAAATATTAATAAAAATCATTCATTTAATGAACAATCATAAAGGTTATTATGAAAAAAATAATTATTTACATATTTAAATTTAGAAACCTTGTAAACATTAGGGATAATAAGGGCAAGTGTAAACATTCAATCAATATAATAGGAGATAAAATTTTTAGGAATAATTGCTAATTGGCCCTGAATTTAGTGGGCATTACCTTTTTAGCTCAATTTAGCACGTAAAGTTGTTTTAAAATAATTAAAAAAATATATTCTCTCAACGTCTCATTTTGTTTTACATAGTTTTTGACAAATTTAATTTAATAAAATTTATTTTTTGCTTTTTTTTACCTAAACTCAATTAAATATAATAAAAAAATCATTCATTTAATGACCAATGCGATAAAAGGTTATTATGAAAAAATATTATTTACATATTTAAATTTAGAAACCTTGTAAACATCTTATGGAACCTTTAAAAAATGTATAATAGGGCAAATAAAAATGGGGAGACGGATGGGTAATTAATGTTTTAAGCTAATTTGGGCCCCTGAACTGTTTTTTGATTTTTAAAATTAATGAATTTATTCAATTTATTAATAAAAATCATTCATTTAATGAACAATCATAAAGGTTATTATGAAAAAAATAATTATTTACATATTTAAATTTAGAAACCTTGTAAACATTTTGGAACATTTAAAAAATGAATAATAAGCAAATAAAATGGGACGGATGGAGTATTTAATTTTTTAAGCTAATTTGGCCCCTGAACTTGTTTTGATTTTTAAAAATTAATGAATTAATTCAATTTAATATAATTGATTTTTATTCTTTTTTTTGTTTTACACTCAAAAACACTATGTCAAACTTTTCGAATACTTGTGAATAACAGTTTAAAATCCATAAAACATAACAGATTTATAAAATATGCAGTATAACTTTCATTTGTTCAAAAGAAATGCATAGATTTCATTTGAATAGTCCAATAATAAAAGCCAACTTTAAAATATGTAAATTACATTTATAAACTCAAAATTATTGGTGAAATTAAAAAGAGATATAATATACTTCATGTATTTATTCATATTTAATTAATTTTTAATTAAATTATACAATCCGATAATTTTAATAAATATTTATACAAAGATTATCACATTGCTTGTAGTGAAAAATCATGAACTAAATTGACCTAAAATATTAAACATTAGCTTTTTAAATATTTTAAAAAAAGTTCATGAGTTAAACTGAGAAAAATATTAAATTTGATGATTTTTTATCATTTTAATTAAATAAGTTAAGCGGTTAAATTGGAAAAAAAAAAAAGAAAGTGAAATCTGATTTTTTTTTTTGTGCCCCTAAGCAAGTAGATGACCCAAATTAACCTATATTTCTAATTTTATACAAATAAGCAATAAAGTTCGGCTGTGGACCCAACAATTATTTAGATAATCCTGATTTATTAACATAAATTCGTATTCATCATTTTGATACTGATTCAGGAAATGCAGAAATGAAATATGACGGGTTGATCAGAATGACCTTTTCCATTTCAGCGGCTTCATTATCCAATCAAGGATTCTGATCCATGTTAGGTGTCTGACGTGGCACAAAAAAGAGCCGCTCAAATGTTGCAGCAAGGGACAAAAGTAACCACACCCTATAGAAACTCCAAGGAACCAAATGAAGAATAACGTAAGGACGTGCATCACAAAGCACGCACGCAACCTCACCGAAACTAAACCCGGACGTGTTCCCGTTTCAAAAACCGGATTTCATTATCGCCGATAGGTCCGGGATCTTTTGTAATTGGAGTTCTTTCTCCTGGTCAAAATAGAAAAAAATACACGCTATTGCAGCGAAACCACCACACCCAACAAAGAGAAGAGAAGAGAAGTCGGAGTTTTGAACTCTGCAAACCCTAACCGGTTCTTCTCTTCTATCCTGCGATTAGGTTTGTAAGTGTTTGTATTGATGCTGATTTCTTTTTTCAGTGTTTGGTGGTTTAGAGTTTTCCTGTTTTGATTTTGATTTTCTTTTGGAAATTAGTTTGATTATTTTGTCTTTGGTAAATTTCTAAATAGATCGATCGCTCTTTCGAGACTGTGCATGGGCTGGTTGGGCTGGTTTGGTTGGCTAATTCATTAATCGATGGTTTAAAGTATTGATTTGGGTACTGAATTTGGGCTGCAAGTTTTTTTGAGGTCAAAGATGGATTTGGTAACTAGTTGCAAGGTATCTTACTTGTCTGGATAAATCTCTGTTCAATTCAATTTCTTAGCTCTTGCGCTTTTCATGTTTCCATCGTTTTCGAGGCAGTAAGCTAGTTGTTATAGCGAGAGGCAGTTTAATTAACTCAGGCAGGCAAAATAGTTTTATGTATGGTAAGTATGTGTTAATTATTTAGTTGCCAGAGCTTCAGTGGCATAATTCGCTGCAAGTTGTGTTTGGCATAGTAAATTATCTTGAGGTGGATGATTACTAGTTGCAAGGACTGAATTAGGGGAATCAGGAGAATTAGTATCTGTTGGTTTGTTGTAATTTGTGATTGAATTTGAGCTTAGTTACTAGACAGTTAATGCTTATTTCATTTTTAGAAATTTTGTTATTTATCCCTTCTAGTCTTTTAGCACATCTCTAGCTTCATTGAGGAGATGTTGAAAAATGGCATTCTTGAAGTTGCCATGCCTTCATATGTAGCCATATCTTTTGAATCATTAAATCATGTCAACTCCATGTTGGTGTAAAATGATTTTTGTCCATATCAGTTTGACAATGTTTTTAATCTCCCACTGCCAAACCTTCTCACCAACATACACAAGGGGAAACAAAAAAGCAAAGAAAAAAAAAAGACATAATAGTCGAATAATTTTGCATTGTTTGAAAGTATTTCATCAAGCCCCATTGCGCAAATCATTATATCTTACAAAATTGGTTGTTTTTGGAACTGGCATGTAGCATGACGTTTTGATGCCTTTCTTCTCATGTTGTTTAGTTCTTGTAGCCATCGTTTCCCATGATTGACTAGGCTCGTTGGATTTTTTTTTTCCTTTGCTCCTTTTTGCAAAGATGTGAAATTTTTACTTTTCTTGTAGGACAAATTGGCATATTTCCGGATAAAAGAACTCAAGGACGTCCTGACACAATTAGGCCTTTCAAAACAGGGGAAGAAGCAGGTATATGCCTGTAACATTCCTTATGCTGCTTTTTCTTTTTTTTTTTTCCTTCTCTTTTAAAAGGATGTTTAAGGACTGCCATATGACCCGACTTATTTAACCTTGGTGGTGATTCATGCCTATATAGTGGTTTGTAATTTATTTATTTCAATCATTTTTCTGTAAGCCTCTTAAAAAATGGGTTTGTTCTTTCTCAAGGTGTTTTTTTTGCATGATTCGTGAAAAGACTAAAATTCTTCATAATATAATTATTCCTATGTGACCCACGAACTGAAGAGGTGACCATTTCTGTGACTTTGTGTATGTAGGACCTTGTTGACCGAATATTAGCTGTTCTTGCAGATGAGCAAGGTAAATATTCCTTAGTGCCTCATTTTCTGTTTATGAAATAGAAGGAAGAGTTACTCTGGGTAAATCATTCATTCATTGCAAGAAAAATTGTTTATTAATTATTACATTATCAGTTACTTGTATATAGAAATCCACGAGCCTCTTCATTTTGCTCCCTTTTTTTTAAGTCTGTTTTTATATTATCTTTAATGTTGAGCGGGCTCTTTATTGGTGAATGTTTGTGCTCTGTATCTGTGATATTAAGGAAGTACCTAACAGAAGTAGTTTCACGTATCAAGTTCAATTGATTCCAAAGTTAATAGTTTTGTTTATGTATAATCGCATGATATTTACATATGAACATGTACTTATTGGCTTCTTCGGGCCATTGATAACTTGTAGCCGTCGCAATCCTTTGAATCGCTGTAGATGCTTATTTCACCATGAGGTTCTATTATTCAATCCTTGACAAAATATTATGTCACCAGTTGAAGAAACAATTAGAATTCTCATGATTTTTGTGCCATAGCTTCCTGATATTGCAAACTTTGATAAATTTTAATGAAATGTTTTGCAGTCTATATAAGTTTATTGAAGCCATTGTTATTGGAAGTAAATTTTGATGGAATTATACCATACTATTTCTAATTTTAATGCGGTTGAGAAACAGAAATTTATCTGATTAGTTGCCGACTTAGTTTAATTAAATATGCTTCTATAAATGGTGTATAGTAAATTTTTTAATTCTGTCTTGTTAATGAAGAATCTTGAGAGCCCAGGTCCCTATTTTTAAATCTCTGTGCTATTTATTTTAATGGTTTGGGTCAGTTTTTTTAATTATTTGGTAGTTCCATTTTCCTACATGAGGGATGGGGATCAGGGGTTTATGGTTTGTTATTTCTGGTTTTTGACCATTTATTTTATGCTATCATACATCGAAGAATAATCCTGTATGCCTTATTGTTCGACTTAATATTGAATATGATATTTACTATTTTTTTGTAGTTCCAAAGACATTGGCAAAGAAGAGTGCCGTTGGGAAGGAAGAGGTGGCAAAACTAGTTGATGACATTTACAGGTTCAACACTTACATGCTTGACTTGTAATTCCATTTTCGGAGACTCTTGCTTTAATTGTATTTTGCTTTTTGTGTATGAAATTACTAAAATCTTTGCATTATTTGTTTGCTACTGTTGCATTTGTTCCCTCCATTGACATGCACCTTTCTGTTGCTCTAGGAAAATGCAGGTTTCTGGGGCCACTGATTTAGCATCAAAGGGACAGGGAGTCTTGGATAGCAGTAAGACAGTGATTAAAGGGGAAATGGATGATACCTCTCACGTGGATACAAAAGTTCGCTGTCCTTGTGGAAGTTCACTGGAAACAGAATCAATGATCAAGGTTTATGCTACATGTCTTATCCTTTTTAAATTGAATTTCAATGTATTTAAGTTCCGGATGTACAAGAATATGATTAGTGGAAAAATGTTAACATTTGAAGTACTAAGAGTGCGTTTTGAGCTTGTTTTAGATTAAATTGATGCTCTTCCTTTATATTGTTCATTTCTTTTTTTATGAATTACAATTATCCTTTGCTTGGAACACTGTGTACTGTTATGCATCTAGTATGGGCATCTACTGCATTCAAATCTTTATACCCTAACACTGTACCCATTTAAACCCACTGATTTTTCTCCACTATGTTCTTTAGTAGCTACAAATCCAGAATCTAATATAGCTTGCAATTGTTCTTCATTGTTTGCTGAAGTTTCATGACTTTTCAACTGTGTTTGAAATTTTTAATGAGATGGTTTTACTTTATTTTGAGCTTTCGTGGTTCACCTAAAGCAGCATGGCCTTTCCAAGCTGAAGTGCAGTCAGGTTGTTTATGCATCCATGTCTTGAATTTTTGGCTCATTACACTTGGTCAATTAATATTGTTATAGATTTTGATGGCACTGAAATAGGATCTGGTGGCTTCTCATTAGAAAGCTGGGATTATGCACCTCTGTGTGTGCGGACCATCACAAGACATGCTACACTTTTGCATTATGTCTATCTACCATTCATGTTTTGAACTCATGTTAATGTGGAAGTTTGTTTTCAGCTTGAGTACATCAGCCACATTTTTCTATCTTTTCTCCATCACCCTCCCTTTAATTATGTCCATTAACAAATCGCTCATGCTGAATGGCCTTATCTTCTGAACTTGCAGTGTGAGGATCTCAAATGTGGTGTCTGGCAACATATTGGCTGTGTTATAATTCCTGAAAAACCCATGGAGGGCAGTCCACAAGTTCCTGACTTATTTTTTTGTGAGACCTGTCGACTCAGCCGTGCTGACCCGTATGTATCATTCACACTTTCCTCTGTTGTATTTATTTTTTAATGGATGGGACAGAAGGTTCTTCCTGCTTCTGTCACTCTGGGGCACTCAAAACAATCTTGGGAAGGGGCAGTTAACATTTTTCTGTACATTGCTTGATACAGATCCAGCTATATTATCTCTAGTTCTTGTTTTGGGCTAGCCTCTTTTGAAAATGAATGCTTTTCGTGATATTCCTATGTATAAATATAGACGCACAGGGATGAATGGGTTTTATGCTATATGATGCAGCTACACATGGTCAATTTATCTCTACTTTTATGTGCCTCTTGCGGTCTTTTACCACTTGATCATATATTTATTATGCTCTCTATATGACTATATCTATATGTGGATGTTCTGTACCTAGATTTAACTGCTAGAGATTACAACTACAATTGCATTGATTTTTGCTAGAGGTGTTTTATTTGATGAGCGGCACTTCCATGGTATTGTCCGACTTATATGAAGAGAAATAAAAATAATGATGTCAATATGGCACTTCAAAAGAAGAGGTGTATGTTTGTTATGGGTTGTCATTCTTGGATGATGGAAATGTTCACCCATTGAACTGGAAGGGTATGAATGTGTTGGGTAGGAAGAGATGCTCTAATCAAGTTATGAAAATTGAGGCCTAGTAAAATGCGCTAGTGCCTGTCGTGTCAACTATTGGTTGGGATAAATAAATTGTAGATGCGGGCATGGGGGATATTCATTGTGTGATGTTGATAGTAAGAGGAAGAATGAGAACCTTGATTTGCAAACACGCTTGGAAGGGACATTATGGACATTCTGTTATGGATGATAATTCCCCATTTTGTGCTGAAGGGTGCAATCTGTTATTTGTAGTCGGCTTAAAAATCTTCTAAAGAATGAGCTCATGGATTTCTGAACCAATAAGATAGTTTTGATTCTCTCTTATATATGTGGCATGAAATCTAAATTGTTAAAAGATCTAAAGCTCTTTGAGGTCTATTGTCAGCTTGTATTTCTGTCATACTTCTATTAATCTCTGATTGTTATCTGTTTGATGCTGTGGTGACTTGCTCATTTTGAACTTTCATTTGAATTTTATGATTGAGGCTGTAGTATGTGCATCTCATGGGATCTGTTTTTGCTCCCTCTTTCTCATTTTCTTATGTGTTTCATATGCACTCAGTGTGCGGGGAATGGAGCCTCCTTTCTTGGAACTGGTTTATATGTGATATGCTGAGCTTTATTGTCAATCAAACAAAAAGTTCTAATGTGTTTCTTAATATACAGTTTTTGGGTAACTGTTGCACATCCTCTGTATCCTGTGAAGTTGGCTACTACAAATATTCCAGCTGATGGGTGAGTGTATCTTCTGCGTTTTTCTTTTGATATCTCATAAATTGGGAAACCTATCTGCTTTTCCACCCATTTTATTAGAATCCATGTTCAAATTTGTTAACTGGAATGGTGGTACTCACAACATCATTTGCTTACTTGGTCTGGAAATTTTCTTTGGCCCATGCATGTGTGTATTCACTGATTCATGTTTGACATTACATGTGCCATGATATTGGCAGCAATTTAGAGTTAGAATTTGTGCTTTCTTTTCTTTTCTTTTCTTTTTTTATTAATTTTTTTTGACTTCTAATTTTGAAGGTAAACAAGTTGTCATATATGCATGTTATGTTTGGAGCATATTAGCGTTATTGCACGTGTTTAATTTGATATTTCTGTATCCTGAATTTTCCAGTCCAAGCCCAGTGCAGAGTGTGGAGAAGACATTTAATCTTACAAGGGTAGAGAAGGACTTGTTAGCTAAAACAGAATATGATGTTCAGGTTAGTTAGTGTACAAGCTCTAGAGATTTGTTCAATTAAAAATATACTAATGGTTGGTTTGTGGTACTGTTCCCTTTCAGGCTTGGTGTATGCTTTTGAATGACAAGGTTCCTTTTAGGATGCAGTGGCCTCAATATGCTGATCTACAAGTCAATGGTACTGTGGTTGGGCTCTAGCTTCTATCCATGATCGATGTTGGTTTTTACGTTTTAGCAGCCGAGAAGTGTTCTGTTTTTCTCTTAAAGCAAAATTGTCAGAATAGCCATGTTATAGTTTGGCTGCAGCTATATCTTTATTTTATGTGTTAAGAAATTATCACTTCTTTTGAGTATTATTTATCTCTCTATTGATTGAATTATGCATGACCTGCAGGTGTACCTGTCCGTGCTATTAATAGACCTGGTTCACAATTATTGGGGGCTAATGGTCGTGATGATGGTCCAATTGTGAGTTTTGTCCCTCTACATGCATGTCTTTTGCCTGCAGTTAATGCTATCTTGTTTTCCTGTAATTTATGAGTTTGTCCACGTGCCTTGATCATTCCATGACCAGTGTATTTGGGATATGGGCACATGTATTAGTTTGGAACTTACGTTTTTGGATCATAAGCTTTCTTGTGATTTGACTTGGTTTATCTACTGTTTTTGCTATTAGATTACACCATGTACAAAAGATGGGATCAATAAAATATCATTAACAGGATGTGATGCGCGTATTTTCTGTTTAGGAGTTAGAATTGTGAAGCGTAGAACTGTTCAACAGGTAATTATATGTCTTCCCCTCCTGTTTCTCCCCACTCCCTTCTGTAGTTGCATTTAATTGAAATATATTCTGTTTGATAGAATTAACTATGGAGTAAAAGAAATGCTCTTTTTGGTTTTCCTAGAATCCCATTTACCCTTAGAGCTTGTTTTACACCTTGTACTATCGTGTAGATACTCAACATGATCCCCAAGGAGTCTGAAGGTGAACATTTTCAAGATGCATTAGCTCGAGTTTGTCGTTGTGTTGGTGGTGGAGCAGCAGACAATGCCGACAGCGACAGTGACCTGGAAGTCGTTGCAGATTCTTTTGCTGTTAATCTCCGCTGTCCTGTAAGTTGTATCATTTATTTTTAATCAGAAATGTGTGATTGCATATTTCTGGCTTTGCATTATGTTCAATGCAGAGGAGATGTCATACAAGAATGTGAAAGTTTGCAACTCTATGTTTTTGTTCATGTACTGAATTATAAGAATGGCTGTGATGATAATCAATGGACGGTAATAGTAGCATTCATCATCATGGACGTTGCGTATATTTTGTTGAATCCTTTAAATGAATATGGAGGCTTTTCAATGATTTGAACTTCTGGCTTGTCACAGTTGTGCTGCAATTGAGTAGGAAATGTAATATTTAACCAGTGATACTACTTTATATGAAGGTGTCACGTAACCTTTACTGATGTTCATATGGTGGCAATAATTGAATATTTTCATGTTTTCTTATGAAATAATATTCATATTCTGTTAAACAGAAAACTTATTTCTTTATAACTCGTTGTGTGTCTGTTATAAGGAATTTGTTTGCAGCCTACTATTATTTTTTATGTGAACTATGAGTAGCTGGAACTGGTTCAGGATTATTTTCAACAGTGATTTCTCATAGCTAATATTGGAACACAAGTGATTGTTTAAGATATTGATTTCCACTAAAAAACCCATGTGCAGATGAGTGGATCGAGAATGAAAGTTGCTGGAAGATTCAAACCTTGTGCTCACATGGGCTGTTTTGATCTTGAAGTTTTTGTGGAAATAAACCAGCGGTCTAGGAAGGCGAGCACTAATCTTTATCTTATTCTATGAGGGTTCTCTTATAGCTTTTTTGTGTCTCTAACTTAGCTTGGACTGTCTGCAGTGGCAATGCCCCATTTGTCTCAAGAACTACTCATTGGAGAATTTAATAATTGACCCATATTTCAATCGTGTCACTTCTAAGGTACTATTTCTTTGTTTTTGCAATCTGTGTTAATTGGTGTATGTATATTAAAGTATTGTTTACGTTGGTGGTGGTACAGATGTGGCATTGTGGTGAGGATATAACAGAGGTTGAGGTGAAGCCTGATGGTTCTTGGCGTGTGAAAACTAAAACTGAATCTGAACGTAGGGATGTTGGTGAACTTGCACAGTGGCATTCCCCTGATGGTTCTCTATGTGTAGCTAATGGTGGAGATATCAAATCAAAATTGGAAATGGAGAGGCAGATCAAGCAGGAAGGTACGTCAGAAGGGTATAATGGTACAGGTTTGAAACTTGGAATCAGGAAGAACCGCAATGGCTTTTGGGAAGTCAGCAAACCTGAGGATGTTAACACCTCCTCTTCTGGGAATAGATTGCTGGAGAAGTTTGAAAATCATGAACAGAAAGTTATCCCAACGAGCAGTAGTGCTACTGGCAGTGGTCGAGATGGTGAAGATCCAAGTGTGAATCAGGATGGTGGTGGCAATTTTGATTTCCCGAACAATGGAATAGAACTCGATTCTTTACCTATGAATATAGATTCAACATATGGTTTTGTGGACCGAAGCTTTTCTGCACCAGTAGGAGATGCAGAAGTTATTGTTCTTAGTGATTCAGATGATGAAAATGATATATTGATACCATCTGGAGCTGTTTACAAGAATAATCAAACTGATGATAATGGGGCTGATTTTTCATTGCCCCCTCCTGGAATTGCGAATCCTTATCCTGAAGATCCTACTGGTGGGAATGGTCTGGGCTTTCTAACTCATAATGATGATGATTTTGGGATGTCCCCATGGCCATTACCTCCCGGGGGTCAAGCTGCCCCTGGTTTTCAGTTGTTTAACTCAGATGTTTCAGATACCTTAGTTGATTTGCAGCATGGTCCTATTAACTGTCCCATGATGAATGGTTATACATATGCTCCGGAGAGTGTCATGGGATCTGCTAGTTTAGTCCCAGATTCTTCCATTGGTAGATCCGACACTGATATAAATGATGGTTTGGTTGATAACCCCTTAGCATTTGGGAATGATGATCCCTCTCTTCAAATCTTTCTTCCAACTAGGCCTTCAGATGTGTCAGGGCAGCCTGATTTAAGGGATCAAGCTGATGTGTCAAACGGTGTCCGTACGGAGGATTGGATCTCTCTTAGGCTTGGTGATGGTGGTGCCACTGGCAATCATGGTGATTCCATTCCTGCAAATGGGATTAATTCGAGACAGCAGATGCCATCAAGAGAAGGTGCCATGGACTCTTTGGCTGACACTGGTTTGTTCCCTTTTTTGTAATGCTTTTGTACTAAATTGATGTTTTAGACGCCGTATTGCTCCTATTGGTTGAGGAATTTCTTTCAGAAACAGAATTATAAATAATTTTATAGGAAATAGTGCCTTTCTTCGTGTCATTATGCTATTTATCCTCTTGTTAGTTTTTCATTTCCCAATTACAATTTTCCACTCTGATTATTCCTGCCTCTGCAGCTTCTTTGCTTCTTGGTATGAATGATGGCAGATCTGAGAAAGCAAGTCGGCAAAGATCTGACAGCGCTTTCACATTTCCTCGCCAAAAACGTTCTGTAAGACCGCGGTTGGTTTTTTCAATTGACTCGGATTCAGAGTAGACAAATGGAGCCTTTTTTTGCTGAGATTATTGTTGTTTTCTTTTGAATGGTTTCGGGGACAGAAACATTTTCATGGGAGGATTTGCTGATTGAAAAAAAATTCTGGTATTTGGTCCCCAATGACACGGAAGTTTCAGATAGTGGCATGAGGCGCAGTGGGGAGAAATTGTTATCAGGAAAACTGCCCTCTGAAATTTTGTTGGCAGTTGAAGATTATTTTCCTCAATTGGTGAGCTGTAGGCCTCGAATATGATACAATATATAATATAATATATAGCCCCCAATTTTGTGCAGCATAACCTTGGTTTCTGATGGTGGTTCTATTACAAGCACTTCTCTCTTATCTCGACAAGGATCTTTGTTCATTGCTGGTAAACTGTACAGTAGTTAGTCATTTAAGCCTGAAAAAATTGGATTTATCCATTGGATTTGGTTCATACCTTTGGATGTAGTGGGGGATCCCCCAGTTAGTAACACAAAACATCCATCTTTTTTTTTTTTGTCTCTGTTTAATGACGAGCTATAGCGCTTGTAAATGTCCTTTAGATTCAGTTATTTATAGAAAGAATAAGATACTTTATTGAAGAGTAACTTCTCAGAGCTACCGGGGTTATTTTTTGCCCTGGTGTTTTCTTTCATCTGGGGTTTAAATCTTGAATATATATTAGGCATTCGTTTAAGAAATCATTGGCGCATGTGGCTGGGCGCTGGGTATTAGATGTTCTTGATTGCAACGATGACAAACTCCATATGTGATGGGCTTTGAGATGTGCATCTGTTGCTTCTTGATGGTGGATGATCTCCTCGTTCATTCCCTTTCCATTATCTGATTCTCCCCCCCTTCCTTTTATTCTGTGGGTAGCAAGATCAATGTAACAAAGCATTTGTTCGACAGTATGATGCATTAAGCATTTGACAAATTTTAGTGTTTTTTGACATTAAATCTTATTCCGGCGAATTATTCTAGTTTCGTATGTGGTAATTATGGAATCATTTTAATTTTTATTCAAATTGCAGTTTATTTTACAAGTTATTATTTAGAAAATAAAAATAAATAAATTGGGAAAGGGAATCTGGAAAGGATATCTGTATTTTATCATGTTACTTTCTCTACGTTGCGTTGCACCTAAATATGCTGATGTCAATGTGAAACGTATTCGAATTAAACATCATATGAAGATGAAGTAACCATAAATTAAATTCGTCCTCTGGTGCCCGACATCTCAGTTGTCTCTTAACAGCTGCCTGTGTTTTACAGGTGTTGCAAGTAAATTAATATTGCTGGTGGTCTTTCAATGTCTATGAAGGATCATTTGATAAGAGCAGCCATATTCAGTTTATCAGTAAATTGTTTCAATCAGTTTGATTCGGTTACTGCCTTCTAAGGAGAACGAAAATTTGAAAACTGAACCACTCATTTCACCGAAGACTTACGATGCATTAAAAAACCTCACTTGCATTAATGCAAGAACGCATTATGATTTTCACCGACCCAATTCTTTTCAAGGTCCCGCAAGTATTAATTTTGATAACCTTGGAGAGACCACTGGTTTTTAAGATTACATCATGGACTTTATCACTTACGGGACTCTTTTAAGTCCAAAATTCTCAGAACTGAATTCTCACGGATTGCATATCATTCATTTCACAGAAACAGGAAAGGATATATGCAGCCTAATGCTCTTTCCACTGTTCATTCTTACTGTAAAAGAACTATAAAATTGAAAAAGTGAAAGCTAAATATGCATCAGTACAACAAATAAATAACTTACATTTGAAACTAGAACCCAATGTTCTTGTATTTACCTAAGACTAACAACTTGGGGTGGGAAAAAGCGAGAGAACCTTGAAAAATAGCAATAAAATTTAATTTCCTCGATGGTGTGGTAATGTAGCCAGAACAACTACCTTGAAGCCAAATTGCCATAATAAATAATAGCCGAATTTATCCGGTTACCTTACAGTACAGCTCATCGAACGCATCACTGCCTGAACTAGCTCAATCTCGTGCTTGTGCTTGAAGGTACTGCTGAGAGGATACCACTGCCGCATGGCAGAACGAAAACGCAATGACTTGCTGCATTTATTTGCCATTCTTCATTAATGAAAGCAGATTATGAATGCCGGAAACTCTCACAGCCTGGGCAGTTATGCAAGCTCTCATGAATATAAATATCACAGTCAAGGCAGAAGTACTGCTTGCATTTTGGGCAAGCAACACAAGGGCCAGGTTTGTTGCCTATGACAAAACCAACAAGAAGTCAGCTGAAAAGAAAAAGGACCTGGACTGAGAGAGAGACATATTTACAAATGATACAAGGGACATCAAATTATCTCGTTTACTTAAATCTGTACCAATAATTTAACCATGATTGTCAAATACAAATGCGTGCTATTGCAATTTCCATAACAATTCTTCTTAGGCTTTTACTTATGCAGAAATAGCAACATGAAACACAATTTATCACACAATTTATCTGCATAATGAATTCACATGATATGCACATGCATGCACACAAGTATCTTACATACCAGGATTGACGAGGTTCTGTTGGCAGCCAAAACAAGTTTTAGGTAGCTTGTTATGTAGTTCATTTTGGCGCAGAGACACCTCATCAAATGGTGTAATAGGGAAGAGGTGATGATACGACCTTGCCAAATGCGGTGAAGAAACAAGTGTTAATCCACAAATACGGCATTCAGTAGGAAGCTCACATACACGTGCCTTGCATCTTGGGCAAATGTAACCCTCACCAACTTTAGCTTCTTTATGACAAGAACAAATTGAGACAGAACCCTCTGCTGCCCTTTGTGGGAAACCCATCTTGATCAAGTTAGCAATTGCAAATTCTGCTATTGCTGGAGGTGGTGGTGCATGCTCCAGTATTAACTCTTTAAAATGGCCCTAAATGAGAGAAATACATAAATGATGATACCCCTTTACATTCAGATAAGTGAAAAGCTGAACTGATTATTAAGGCAAAATATAATGGAGGGAAGTGTGTAGAAGTAAACCAACCAAAAAGTTGATACATTCAAGATAAATTTAGATGGCTTTATGTTTCATTATAATTTCAGTTTCCTTTAACTTTTTGCAACTCGAGGTCATTTTGAACTTTTAAACAGCTAGTTTGTTATGTCTTCCATTTAATTTTCTTCTAAATCATTCAGTTCTGGGAACTATGAGATAATGACTTCTACCTCAAATTTCAAAGAAATTGTAGCAGTTCTCTCAAATCCATATGATCTAGAGATCCATGAAAACTCACCTCATCCATAGCAACAGAGTATAATCCACCAGTTTCTCGACAAAGATGTTTGCATATAAACATCTCTGCAGAAAGCCCAATAACTGAGCACCTAATTTTAGATTTCTTACATTTCTGGATAGTGTCCATTATATCTCCAGGATCACAGGTACTCAGAGCTGAATACAAGATGAGAACTTCGCGATGACCGTATGATGGAATTTGATCTAGATATACACGGACAAAATCTAGAGCATTTTGTAGTGAGGAATCACCTGAACATTCCAACTTGCCCATCAAAGCCTTAATGTGAGACTCGGGACTTCCACCAAGCTCTGTTAAAGAATGTGCAACCCCATCTTTAATAGTCACCAAACCAATCTGACTAAGTGGATTCTGATAAAAAAACTCCCTAACAAAGGCTTCAACATGTTTTGCAATCACAACCATTCTACTTGGTTTAAAATCCATCTCTCCTGCTGCCTACATACATTGAAGCAAACAAATACGAAGATAAATCTCCAAATTTATTGATTTAAATACTAAGTGAAATTTTGAATCTTTAGTAATAATAATCACATGATACAAGATCACAAGGTGTTGGTCAAAAGAGTATTAATAAAATATAAAGAAAAAAAGAACTATGAATCAAATTTTTACTGACAATAATTACAGGAAGTTTGTTTTATCAAATGCCTCTCAAATTCAAAAGGTATTAGTAAAAGATAAAAGAAAAATTCATCCATGATGCACGCATACATAATTGCAGATTCAATGGATGCAAAAGCGCACACCTGTGAATTTATTAATTTCAATACCAATTGAAGCTATAACCATAAAGTTCGAACATTTACTGATAATAGTTGCTTGAAAAATCCCAACAAATGGCTATCAAATTAAAAAGGGCATTCATAAAAGATAGAATCATACTCTAGAGAGATCGACAACAATGTAGAGAAAGCGAATGAGACCCTTTTGGATACGAGCTGTGGTTGCAGTGGCGGACAGAGCACGAAGGCGGCGGCGATACTGAGCATGGTAGATGGCCTTATTGTCTATAGGACGAAGAAGACCAGACTCATCTTCTTGTAAAGCTTCCCACGACCGCTCATCAGTGTAAGTTCTCTCCCACGCATCAAGATCACCATCTACATCATCTTCATCGTCATCCTCTTCACCAGTTTCTCCATTTAATCGTTTCTTTTCACTGTTGCTCATGCTTGGTGTGCTTTTTTTCAATGTCAATTGAACATCAATGTTAGTTTGTCTTAACTGTTCTTTTCTGTCGTTGGAACCCTAGATATTTACTGATGAAATTTTGGAGTGATGGACGTGATGTGATGGAAAGAAAGCAGGAAGGAAGACTGATTTTTAGATTCTATCAATATATTTGAAAAAAAAAAAGTTACATAATTTAACTGGGCTGGTAGGTCAGATGTCCGATATATCCTGAACACGTGGCAAGAACTCTCCGAATTACATGCGAGGGAGAGACGAAGAAATTTAATTATAATTGATTAAGCCGTCTCTGTTTATGAAGTTCGGATTACACTGGTTTAAAAAAAAAAGTTACATAATATAATTAATTTAATTGACACCTAAAATGAAGTAATTAATTTTTTTTATCTTTTAAATACTTATTTTTTATTTTTAAAAATTTTTCTCTCCCACAGGTAAATAGAGGTACTCTTTTATTGTAGCCGGAAACTTATTTTTTAAGGAAAAATTACAGTACAATTTCTATAGTTTATAAAATACAATTAGTTCGTTCATGTCTTTTAAGAAATAGATTAAAATATTCTTGTAATTTACTTCCATCAGACTATAAAGCCCTTTCATTCAATTTTTATATCTTTTCCGTTAAGTACTTTATGAACTGATAAAAATATTATCTTTAGTTTTTAAAATATAGGGATTGACTAATTATAATTTTTAAACTATAGGAAATGCACTGTAATTTTTGGTACAATATTTTAGTATCTCTTTTAATCTACTGTAATTTTCCTTTTATCAATTTACAGCTTTGCAAATTTGAGGAATAATGTTTTTCTTAAATATGGGAGAAATTATATATATATACATTCGCGAACGAGAAATATTGGGTTTTTAAAATGACCCTATAAGTTTATGGATTTGATAAAAATATCATTGAAGATTTTAATTTTATTGGTTTAAAAATAAAGATAGTTTAATTTTGATTGATTAATGTTAATTTCCTATAACAATGTAAATGAAGTTTAATCTAATTCTATGTAAGAAATTTGTTGAATTATAAACATCTACAAAGATAAAATAATCTATTTTTCATAATACAAAGATAAAATAATTAATTTTTCTATGAAATAGGATGAATTTGTAAATTTTTCTTTTTAAAACTAATATTTGACTAAATACAATCAAGACTATATTGTCGAAATAATATTTGAAAATATTAACACTACCCTTATTTTTAATAAACTCCCATGCTTATTATTTAACTAATATCATTTTTAGTAATTTTGATAGATTAAATTATTTTTAAGTAATTATTAAAAGTAAAATTTAAGTAATTTTACTAAACACTCAACTATTTATTTTTCATATATATTTTTCTTTTGCCAATTTAATGCGGGATTTTTGCACTTAAACTATTTATATATCTATTATATTTATTGGATTATTTTAGCGAGAAATCAATGAAAAAAGAATCATTGAGATTTAAGTGATTAGGTGAAATAAAAGATAATTTAGTTAAATTAAAAAGTATTTTTTATTATAATTTAAGTGATTCAAATATTTTCTTAATTACTGCAGATAAAAGTTGAGACAGAGAGTATAACAAATATAATAGTAAGAATTATATGTACAATGTAAAATTAAAAAAAAAAAGAGAAATTTTTAATTTTAATTAGTCTACTTAGATTTGGTTTAACACTTCATTCTAAAATCCAAAAAATGATTTTATAATCCATACGATGCAAGAAGTTTTATTTTGTTGTCAATTTTGACAAACAAGACAAGTTACAGAAAGAACAAAATTGAGATTTATTTAGGAACAACATGGCGATAGAATTAGTCTACAAAAGCTCTTTATTCTTTAGAAAAAAGAATATAAATATGCAATAAATAGGTTTTAAAAAGAAAATATAGAAAATCAGTAAAACAGAAAACAATTTCATGTTAGTATTATTATTATTATGCAGGGACTGAGAAACCTAGTTTGAGACTCTCCCTTTTCATCTTCTTATTTCAAATAGGCTTCTTTTTTTTTTTTTTTTTTTTGAGAAAATCAGTAAAACAGAAAACAATTTCATGTTAGGTATTATTATTATTATTGCAGGCGGACTGAAAACTAGTTTGAGACTCTCCCTTTTTCATCTTCTTATTTCAAATAGGCTTCTTTTTTTTTTTTTCTTTTCTTGTTTCCTGCTGCCATATTTTAGGATATTTACTCTTTCTAAAAAAAAAAAAAAAAAGTTACATACTTAACATGTTACTATTCTCTTCAAAAAAAAAAAAAAATTTTACTATTTAAGAATTTCAGGCTGTTTCTATGTTTAAAAAAAAAAAAAAAAAGTTACATACTAACATGTTACTATTCTCTTCAAAAAAAAAAAAAATTTTACTATTTAAGATTTCATGGCTGTTTTTATGTTTTCATTTATAATCTGCGAAGTACATTAAACACTCATTGTTATAATAAATGCAATCAATTGAAAGCTAATGTATAAAGGTATCAAAAAAAAAAAAAACGTAATAAAACAAAAATTATTTTACGCCCACCGTGGGGCTCGAACCCACGACCACAAGGTTAAGAGCCTTGCGCTCTACCGACTGAGCTAGACGGGCTGTTTGAATAATTTTGCATAATAATATATTTGATTAAGATAAAATATCAAAACTTAGGAAAGTAAGAAATATTCTCGTTTTCATGAAAGAAGTGGGATAAAATGAGAATGAGACATTATTTTGTGGAGTTACTTGCAAAAGCAGCCATTTTCAATTGTTCAATGTTATAAAACAAGATAGTAATCATGCCGAAACCATGTAATTTCAAATAACAATTGGCCTCCAATTTTATTCACCTGTCCGAATTGTAATTATGCAGCTAAGGTTTAGCAGCAACGCTATTTATCATCAAAATCCCTTTCATGCAAAAGATGCCAATAATTCAACTCAAGAGTATCAATTGTTCTCTTGAACATAGTCATAGACCACATTCCTTTCAAGACATTTCCAAAGTCTACTAAACACATAATGGATAAATTAATCAAAACAAAATATTAGCTTGTTAATCTACAAAATTGCTATCCAGTACTAATTCTTTCCACCTCAGAAACATTAAGGTTAAAAAGAGAAAATTGAAAAACAAAAATAAAACAACTGCAAAGAAGAAAAATACAAACAGAAGTCCCTAATTTCTCTGCCAACTCTTCTGTTCATCTCAGGAGAAAACTTAAGACAAACATCATTGGTGAAAGCTCCCGCTGACTGAGGTTGATATAAGCGGACTGTCAGAAAGTTCATTGCCCACATTTTATACAGCCTTTTAAATTAAGCAAGATCTCAATTGGTCTAGCAAGTTATGCAGTTAACATATTTAGATGAGATGTAGACATATCCTTTGTTGCTTATGCCTAATCAAGTCAGTCATCAGTTTCGGACTCGAGAACTGGGAGGATGCTTAAGGCTGATGAACCAAGATGCATTCCCCGAACTATGCCTCCATATCCTTCATTGATCCTGTGGCATAAAAGCAAGATGGAATCCCACAATGACGTCCTTCCCTGGAAACAAAAAACAAAAACCTCTATCATATACAATACCATATATAACTGTTCCTGACTTCCAGTCGACTAATAATGTCATAAATTGTTTATTGTCATTAAATTTCAATCGCTTTATTAAATTCTCCCTTATTGAACCCTCTGTTCTGTTGGGTAATTAACAATTTCTTTATGTTGTTTTAGCCCTCTGCATGCTTCCCATCCATCATTTTCATGTTTATACAACCCATTACCTACCTGAAGGGAGAACTGCAGTTTCTTATCCCAGTACAAGGCAATAACTGGAGGGCTTTGCTTTCCAACAACCAGTATACAAGCCCCTGGGTGAAGAGTCGAAGGAACACCGGAAATGACAGAGATGTACTTCTCTGGAAACCTTTCTTTTGGATGCAGAACCCCCAAGAATAAGGGGTTCTTGCTAGAATGAGCTCCAGCATAAGATGTCGGATCAACATGAAACATCCATTTTGGATGCTCCAAAAATGCACAAAACAAATATAAGAGCAAGTGGGAATCCGTAGGAAGCTCAAGAGTCCACTTCTTCTTGTTTTTGTCATAAACCTCTCCACTTCCCAGATACTCGTAATTTTTCAAGCAAGTTCCTTCAGCAAGCTCTGTCAAAATTCCAAAAGCAGGAAACTGAGTTGCGTATGCATGGAATAAATGACTGTAATTAGACATGGAGATTTTCAAAAGATAAATGGAGATGAAAATTATACTATAAGCATAAGCGAAAATATATTATTCTGAGTACCTCGAATTCTTTGTACCATGTAATCTTCTGGAACATTGCTATGTGGTAGCAAACCTTTGGCCCATTCTCCTTTCATCAATGTATGAAGCCTTTGGTGTTCAGTGATAGCATCCACACACTCCTGCATGATAGGGATCATTGGATTTTGCTGTGGGGACTGTTGCAGACTTGCCAGAGGCAACTTGGCTACATGTGATAAGGTCAGTCATCCCAAGTCATTATGAATGATCCACATAATAAACCCAACCAAAGAGAAATGAAAAGGTAACAATGGAGCAACTTACACATAGAAGAATCAAGAGCCTGCATAAGAGTAGCACGTAATTGATGGAGAAGTCCATCTTCATCAAGTGTGAATGCCGGTTGCCATTCCTTCATATCAATTGAAGACACAGTAGCAGGAGTTCCGCTAGTTGATGAATCACTTCCCACTTGACTGATTGTGACTGAAATACCAAGTTTGGCAGCTGCTTGCATTACCTGCATATGAAAACAACCGAGAAAAATCAAGTAGAAACGGATACCAATATAGTAGATTTCAGCTTTTGCCATATTTACTGGTGAGGCGGTGACACAACAAGAAAAAGGGCTACAGGACAAACATCCAAGTATAACAAACTTTTCTTAGATTTCTGAATTAACTAATTGCAAAAAGATGCCAACTTCTGAATGCTATGCATAGTGACTAAGCAACACTCCAAGTTTTTGTAAAGTATGCAGGTCACCAGACCAATACAAGTTTTCAAAAATGAGTATAAACAGATATTTATCAAATGTTTAAGCTTCTATCTCAAAGTAGCATGTGGCATGCAACTAGAAATTTAATGCTCCTGATATACCAATGATGTTTTCCTGGAAGTCTTGGATGCAAAACTATTGCTGAACAATGATATAATCCCAAATTCCCCTTGGATACATAACATAGCCAGATATGTACTAATAATACTAACAAAATGTGGAGAGAAAATATTGGATTTTTATGATAGTGACAATAATCACAAGATAGAGATTGATAACAGCAATGATGACAGACCTGAATGTGGCTGGTTTCAATCTTGTTAAGCAGAGGATTGAGTAGAACTGATGAAAACCATTGCCTGAGACGGTCACGCCATTGCTCAATTTGAGGATAGATTCCCAACTGCTTGAAAGCCTCAATAGACTCTTCCATTGACATAGGTGGAGGAAGTTCACCCTCTCCTTTCTTAGGCGGAGTAGTAAATTTCTGGGAACCAGGAGACATCCTAACAGGCCTCAAGGGAGTGCTCCTTGCAGTTCCAGAAGTGTTAGCTGGACTAGCTACAGTATTAGGACTAGCTACGCCAAAGCCCCTAACAGTGGGAGGTGGAGTAGCATTTTTCCCAGCTGACTCGGTAATTCTCTCATCTACTTCTGCCAAGAACCGCTCAAGCTGTTCTTCTGTGGTTATCTCTTTAGTAGCAGAGGCTCGCTTACTTGACCAAGGAGTTGAGACCGCTGAATCCATCCCTGGAGAAGATAGAGTAGAAGGTAATGGTGAACTAGCACCAGGAACAAGGTATAGAGAGGAAGGAGAACTCTTAGATTTGGATGGGGTGCTAAAAGAAGTCATTTTGTTTCCACTGCCAGCTTTTGATTTATCAGAGCCAATTTGGGACTTGCGATTGGAACTGGTAATTGGCTGATGAATTGGAACAAGGATATCCGAAGCAGACAATATAGGTTTGGACTTGGGAGGTTTCCTCAAAGATTCTGTTGCAACTGATTCAACTGTTGGCTTTATTCCCAAAAGCCCCAGCTGACGGCTTGTTAGAAGTGACTGATCCTTGGTTTCTTTAGAGGGAAATTTTACTGGACCACCAGCTAATCTTTTTCCTCTATGCCAAGAGATGGCTTTGAAAAGTGCAAATAAAGATCCGATAAAAACCAAACCCAGCAAAGCTTGTACTGCTTTGGAGAATATATCTGCCACACACACCACAAAAAAAAGTTAACTATCAAATATAGTAGTAGTACCAAAATAGTTATTCAAATAACTAAGAAACATTCTATTGATTTAGTGAACTTACAAGCTACTTCTTGAGGCAAATTTGTGAATCTCATCATTTCAGTTAGTCCATTTTCCCTTCAAAATTTTGAACAAAATGATAATGTCAGTCACATCAAGTTGAATTGCATATACCAACAAAGATTCCCAGGTTTCTCAAAAGTAGAAAAAAAAAAAAAAAAAAAAAAATCAGTCACAATCAAGTTGAAATTGAATACCAACAAAAAGATTCCCAGGTTTCTCAAAAGTAGAAAAAAAAAAAAAAAAAAAAAAAAACAAGCAAGTAGAAAGAAGATACAGGGAAAAATTGAAATGTAAAAAAAATTATTCAATAGCAGAAAAAAAAAAAAAAAAAAAAAACAAGCAAGTAGAAAGAAGATTCAGGGAAAAATGAAATGTAAAAAAAATATCAATAGCAGTATTTACCTAGCTCCTAGAACAATTGATGCATAATGAAGCTACAAACAAACTATTTCTTAATTTTTTCTTCCTACTAGAAAATCAAATCCTTATATTGGAAGATAAAACCTTGCATATACTTGAAACTATTCAAAATAAGCACTGATTTTTTTTTTTTTTATATTGAGTTCTTCCTGAAGTCCTAACTCTAGTTCCTCCACTGGGACAAAACAATTTGAACAAAAAACACATATGCAACTAAATAAAACCAATTAAAAAAAAAAAAAGTGAAAACCCCTTAAAACCCTAATTACCAAACAATCACTAATAAAACTCTACAAGAGAACCCTATATTGTCAAGTCAAGCTACAGAGCTACAGGTACACACAAACATATACATGAAAGAAGATATCATATGTGAAGACTATACCTGGAGATGGTGGAGATAAGAGCCAGCGCAGAGGCAGAGGAGAGGGAGAATATGAAGAAAAAAGCGGATTTGGAGGGATGGAGGCTGTTGGCGGTTAAGGCAGCGGATAAAGCTGGGTTTTGATACACTGCGAACTTTGATGGTTTGGTCACTGGAGGCGAACCCTTCTCTCGAGCACCGCCTCCACCGCTACCACTTTCCATATTAGGTAATAATTGGCCGTGGAAGCTGGGATTTGGAGGTACGAAACAAAAACGTCGTGGTTATTTCATTGGCGGAGAGATGAAAAAGGACACTTTTATTTCTCTGCCTGCCTCGATGTTTTGGAGCTCAAAAGTAAGAAGTTCAAACTTCAAACCTACAGCTGCTTTCAACTTCTGATCACTGGAAAAGTACCGTTCGGTAAATTACCTAATGGAAAATTTCATTAAAAGACTCTAAATTCTGAAATTTTGTTATTTACTCACCGATCTCAACCCATTAGTTGTCACTTATTTTTATATTTAAAATTTAAATTAATTATAAATTTAGTATCTAAATTTTTTAAAATTTTTTATTTCAGTATTTTAATAAAAAATATTTACAATCAGATATTTAAATTTAAAAATATTTTCAACCGGATATCTTCGACCTAAATAGCAAGCTGAAAATACAGACAGTACATGAATATCGTGACAAGGTGAATTTTGCTGATGTGGATGTAGATTTTATTCTGACGTGGAGTTTTTTGCTATTTTTTGCTGACATCCTCTCGCTACCCTCGTATCACTGTAACAACATAATATCATCTGATTGTAATAAAAAAAATAATAAAAGTTTTCACCATAATCAATCAATAAAGAGTTTTACATGCACATTTATATCCACCATCAAATTAGCCAAAAGCTCCCAAAATCATTAGTTACCAATTTAATTTGTTGTTGGCAAAATAGATTTGAGGACAATTACATTCATAACAAAATGCATTACCGTTAGCCTTCTCAAACCCAGCTATCTACGGTTCTGCAAATCTAGCAAAGAAAATCTCAAGAGCTTGTGCCAATAACCCCAATGACATGCCAATCTCCGCCTCTCAAGCATGGAGCAATATTCTGCAAAACCAATCCTTCGTATGTTTAATTATCTTCTCTGCCTATAAATCAATCAAAAGAGTTTTTTTTAGGTTACATCGAAGAAGTATCTGGAAGTCCAATACTTCTCAATTTCCTCTGTGTTCTTTCTGAAATCCTCCCAGCAATTAGAGACCACCTACATAATTGATTTGTTTAACAAGAAGGTAAGTGAAAGCATTGCCCAAAAAATTTTAACTAACCAGTTATCAATTATTGCAAAGCTTATCAGTGGAGAGCATGAGGGAGCTCTTGCAATGAGTGAACCCAATGGTAACTTCTATGATCTTTTAAACATCTTATATCTTATGTTTATGGGTAATTATAATGGCCTTGAACCTGCTCTTTGTTTAATCTTGGCTAATATCTTTTAGTCTTCCATCAGCTGGATCTGATGTTGTTAGCATGAAATGCAAAGCTGATCGCGTAGATGGGGGCTATGTTCCAAATGGGAACAAGATGTGGTGCATAAATGGTCCTGTTGCTCAGACATTGGTAGTCCTTTTGTTGAATTTTTCTTTTATTTCTAACATGCCTTGGCTCCCTTTTATGTGCATAATTGCTTAATTATAATTTAGTCTTCTTAGTGTTAAGTTGTGTTCTGGATTTTTAATATGAAATATGTATCGATTTATTTACTATCATAACACCATTTTTAAAAGTTAGAAGCAATCAATTGTGATGATAGGCACATATTGGAAAAAAGATTCATTTCTAACATTGCAATTCAGAATTTTATTATTGTGAATATGGAGACAGAGGGTTCATAATTTTATATGAGTAGGCAATGTACCAAAATGAATTTTATTCAGGGTGTTGCGTGTGTTTGTGAACTATGATTGTGATCTCATGAAACTCTAATGTTACAGGTTTGATTGAAGACATGTCTGTACATGCATTTTTCATCCCTTTCTTTCCTCAAGTTTGCAATATTTTCGTGTACTGAATCATGTTCTTGTACATAATGATTACCTCATGCAGCAGTTATTACGGCTGCTATAATCTATACCATATTTTGTTTAATGAAGTTATCCTTATTTTTGGAAGTGACATGTAAAAGTTTCCTACGGGTTATTTATGCAAAAACAGACATCAAGGCTGGGTCAAAAGGAATCACAGCATTTATCATTGAGAAAGGAATGACTGGGTATTTGGAACTAAAATTTATTTAATTATTTATTTATTTTGAACAGGGCAGGTTATTAGATTTCTGGGCAGAAATTATCTTTTATATCATATCCAACACAACATAGCGCTGTTGGCCTTTTGGCGTTATTGATGGATATATACATGTACTTTCTGTTACAGTGCCAGGCAGTAAATTAACACTTTTAACACCGAGGCATGCAACCATGGAAGAGAATGTTCCAACTTCTAGTCTATTATTTTAAACATTAGTGTACATGCTCTGTGCATAAATGCAACATATTGGGATGAGAACATCTGAGTTTATTTCCTCTGGAAGTTGAAGGCAGAGATTCATTGGTTGTAGAAGAAAGTTTAATTTTGGACATTGTTAAGAATATCCATGAATGTTTCAAAAATTACCCACTGTAGACTGAACATGAAATATGAAGTTCAGTAGTATACATGACTTGTGTTTTATTTCTTTTTGGTGAATGCAGATTTACTACTTCCCAGAAGCTAGACAAACTTGGATGCGAGGAAGCGATACGTATGTTGACAATGCTCTAAGAAAATCTCCGTATTTTAGTCCCCTAGCCCATCTTTTTCTCTCTTTCTAACATAGGAGACGGTCGAACAGGTGTGAGCTTGTTTTTGAGAATTGCTTTGTTCCAGAAGAAAATGTGCTTGGACAGGAAGGAAAAGGTTTTCTCATACTGTAAGCTTATGTTTTCTTTTGGTTATGTGAAGATGTTTCATCTCTTCTTCCTGCGAGTGCTCATCATTTGAGGCATAGAAAGTTGTTAGGTATCTTTTATTATATTACTGTAACTACTAAATCAGACCGGTTGCAACAGTCTGAACTATTTAACATAAAAGTTCAGTATAGTTTCTTTAAGCGCCTGCAACCAACTTACTATCCCCTAAGACTCCCAATGCAAATCCTGTAGTTTCATTGAGTTTAAGCCTTGTGAATCTACATCAAAATGCTCCTTTGATTATGAAATTATCGCTTTAACTGTAGAGATCTAAATTCATTATCATCTGAGATTAACATATAATGTCGGTCGCATCAATGCTTGGAAAAGCTGCCACTTTCCACTGAGCTTCCAACTACTTGGGACAAATTAGAAGGAATTTTTTGTTGCTGTGGTGCTCTCATAACACTGCGATTGATGATTTTGTCCTCCCTGTCCTTTTTGATGGGAGCGGGTATAAAGCGGAAACAACCCTCTTTGAAACCATATGAGGCAAACTAAAAACATTATCGAACAAATCAATAAACTGACCTCTTTTTGATGAGGAGCGGGTATTAAAGCGGAAACAACCCTCTTATGAAACCATATGCAGGCAAACTAAAAACATTTATCGAACAAATCAATAAACTGGACCTTCTTGAAGCGCAGAATCGCTCACCGGTCTTCTTTCCAGAGATCTTGGGAGTCACCCTACGATCTTTGCAAGTAAATCCCCTAACTATAAATCCCTAACTATCTCTCTGAGTGGCAGAGAATAGAATAACGTGCGTCTCTCTATTCTTAGGGTTTTCAAATCTTATATTAAAAAAAACTCTCTTCGATAGAAAGATATTTTTTTTTAATATAAAATAAATTAAATAAAAAATTATTTAATTAAAATAATTATCAATTATTTTAAAACTGAATAATTTATCTATTATTTAATACACCCTTAACTTTCCAAATAATTAGGGCACTACAGGGACCTCAGGAATAAAATAAATCAGGCTACTAATTATAATAATAACCTATGTAGACCAACATATTCTTATTATAATTAATCATGAATTATTCCACTTCCACTAAAAACTCATGACTGAACTCCTTATTTTATTTTTTACAATTCCACAATCCACAACATAATAAAATAATGTTCCCCATGTTAAGATTACAGATGCTGTCATTTAAATAACTTACTGACAATTTATTTAAATCACAATATAACTTTATGTTTCTGAGAAGGATGCAACACTTAATCACTTAAAATTCAATTCAATATGTCTGCAAATTCAAGAAAAAACTTAACTTTACGAAGAAGCAATGAGCTATATACTGTCCATTTTCACTTTTCAAGGAAAAAAAACTGACAGCTCTTTTTCAATGGCATTAATTTACGGATTTGGAAGTTGACAAAAACTTTTTCTTTCTATAGTTGGTAAGAAGTCGGATTTCAAGGCCAGTACATAGCTTAGTTTTTATGGATATAACAATTAATCTTTGCTGGGAAACAGTCCATGTGCATGCCAGCAGGTACAGGAGAGGAGATAGATAAATACATTCTTTGAATCAATTTGCATCCAAACCTCAGATTCATTGGAATCCGGTATCAGAATTGGTTGTGTATTTCTTTTTTAAGCTATGTTTCCATTTGCAAATTTCCAATTAAAATTTCCAATTAAATACAAAGAAATAATCGTCAATAGAAAATCATTCATAGCTATACTATTACATATGCATGGTTAATAGTATATCTCTATCAATTTCCCACTTAGACTCATAACCATGCATCAATAACTTTAACTCCCATTCCTTCTACATGACTGTTAAAAGCCTTTGCTGGTAAGCTTTTTGTAAAAGGATCTGCCAGGTTGTTTTCCGATGCAATCTTTGTCACTACCACATCTCCCCTTTGAACCATGTCTCGTATCAAATGATACTTCCTCTCAATGTGTTTTGCCCTTTTATGGCTCCGTGGCTCCTTCGAGTTGCAACTGCCCCACTATTATCACAATAAAGTTAATAGGCCAATTTGCACGCAATTGCACTGAAGAAACTACGCCTAGATCCATAAGGAAGTTCCTAAGCCATACAGCTTCCTTTGCAGCTTCAGAAGCTGCCACATATTCAACTTCCATGGTGGAGTCAGCAACACAAGTTTGCTTAATACTCCTCCAACTTATGGCTCCACCTCCCAAGACAAAAGCATTACCAGAGGTTGACTTCCGAGAGTCCTTATCAGTCTGAAAATCCGAATCTGTATACCCAATGGGTACAAGATCGTCAGATTGATAAACTAACCTATAATCCCTAGTCCTTTTCAAGTACTTGATAATATGCTTGACTGCAGTCCAGTGTTCTCGCCCAGGATTAGATTGAAATCTGCTAACCATGCCAACAGCAAAACAGATATCAGGTCTGGGATATCAGGTCTGGTACACAACATTGCATTACATAAGGCTTCCAAACTGCAGGAAGCATATTGGAACTGCCTTTCATGTTTCTCATCTCCTTCAGGTGTCTTTAGGACATTGGTCCTTAGATGAGTGATTCCATGTTGGTCCTTAGATAGAGTGATTCCATGTCTGAAGGGAAGAAAACCCTTCTTGGAATCCTGCATGCTGAAACGAGCAAGAATGGTATCAATAAAAAGTGCTTGAGATAAGCCAATCATCCTTTTCTTGCGATCTCGCATAAGCTTAATCCTAAGAATATGAGCAGCCTCTCCCAAATCCTTCATATCAAAACGTTGGGACAGCCAATCTTTGACAATTCAACATACCTACACAATTCCCTATAAGCAGAATATCATCCACATATAGTACCAGAAAAACAACCTTACTACCATTCCATTTCTTATACACTCAAGACTCATCATGACACTGATCAAAGCCAAAACTTTTAATCACTTGGTCAAAACAAGTATTCCATGACCTAGATGCTAGTTTAAACCCATAAATGGACCTATTCAATTTGCAAAGCAAATTTTCTTGTCCATTGTTTATGAAACCTTCTGGTTGCTTCATATAGATACATTCATCAAGACTTCCATTTAGGAAAGCTGTCTTGACATCCATTTGCCAAATCTCATAATCATATCTCATTTAAATTCATAATGAGCTGCAATGGATAGAAGATTCTAATAGACTTTAGCATGGCTACCGGCGAAAAAGTTTCCTCATAATCGATCCCTTCTTTCTGAGTGAAACCCTTTTCGCAACAAGCCTTGCCTTATAAGTTTGCCACTTTACCGTCATAAACCCTCTTTTTTCTTATAGACTCGCACTTGCTAATCCGAATGGGTTTAAACCCTTCAGGTGGTTCTACAAGTTCCCAACTTGATTAGAGTTACATTGGACTCCAGTCTCAGATTTCTAGCTTACCAAGCCACTTGATCAGCATCTTTATCTTGTAGTGCTTTCATCGGTTAACGACAGTTCGAACTATTCACTTCGTCAGGATTTTATCAAAAAGCTTCTCCCAAAAGTGTATATCGTAGACCGTGGATCGTCTAAATTCTCCCACTACGACGAAGTACTTACAGGTTCTGCAATCACACCTTCATTGTTGCCAACTGTGGCTGTTAAACCGGGCAATAAGTCCATGACTGGTGGGACTACATGTCTTGATCATGTCATGGAACTTCAACATGTCTGGTCACTCACCAGCAGGCAATAAATGATTAGAAAGCCCCAACATTGTGCTCCTGTATATTGGCGATCAACAGGCTGCCACTTCTAGTTTCTACATAACTCCCACACTTTCAGTGGTAGTAAATGTTAGGTATTGAATATTCAGGCTGATGTTGATTTACTGGTCGATAACATTTCTCCACTCACGACTAGGCAATGGAATGTCAACTCCAACCATTGATGGTTATGTTGTTTTCTAAGTGAAAGGTTCTAGTTGGTAATTTTCTCCTCTCAATCATAAAGGCTAATCACTTTTTGGGAATACTGGTTTTTAATATAGTCTTCCTTAAGGATAATGTGCATTGGTGCTAAACAATGACCTTTTTTATCTTGAGAACTATAAAATAAACCATTCTTTAGTTCCCTAGGGATATCCAATAAAGAAGCATAAGTCTGTGGTTTGATTGCCAACTAATATACCATTCAACACATGCTGGACAACCCCACATCCGGAACATGTCTTAGACTTTGGCTTTCGCCCAATCCACAGTTCTTGTAGGAGTTTTAGGACTGACTTAGATTGGAAACCCAAATTCAGAATAAATATGCTGCCGTTTCTATGGCATTACCCCCAAACGAAAATGGGCAAATCTGAAATAACTCATCAGTGTTGATCTAAACCATTTCCGGATAAGCGTCGCTATTTCTTCTTTGCTGCTACACCATTCTGTTGTGGGATACACAGTGCAAGACAACTTGTGAAGTAATTCCTTGTTCTATAAATAAGTAATGAATTCCCTAGAAGGTATTCGCCACCACGGTCAGACCCGTAACGGAAACTTGATCATATTTTTCACATGTCGTTTCTCCGTTTGCTGCCTGAACTCTGTTGAATTCTCAAAGCATTGCAAGAGCTTACGGGCAACAGGTAAATGTATCCATATCTTGAGTAATTCAATCTGTGGAAATCACAAAATACTCAAAACCACCCCTAGCTTGTGGACACTCATTGGACCACACAAATCAGAATGAATTAATTCAAGTACGATCATTAGTCTTTCCCTTTATAGGAAAAGGCCTCATTAGTCCATTTTAGCTTCTTAAGACAAGATTTCACAGGTGGCAGTGCTCACTTTCAATGAACTCAATGGTCCATTCCTTGGACCACCTAGAAAGATCCTATCTAAAGTTAATATGACCAAAGCTTAAATGCCACAAAGTAGGTATGACTTAAATTCAGATAGGACGGTTTCTTTTCAATGGGAACAGATGACATCAAAGTTTATTAACTTCAGAATTATGGAATTTGCAGTTCAGGTGAAACTTTGAGAATTAAAAAAGTCATCAATCATTTGAGCCGAGAACATATCATTTAGTTTTCTAAATTTTAAATAATGACAGAATCATCATAAAATTCAGTGTAAAACAACCGAAATCCATTCTTGCTCAAACTGAGAAACTGAAAATTAAAGTTTCCTTCTTTTAATTTGAAGGGTTACATATAAAACATCCTTCAAAAAACAATTGTTCTATACTCAAAATTCAAAAAACATTTTTCCTATTAGCCAGAACTGCAACTTCTGTGCCATCTCC